TAAAAACTGGTGCATGCCTAATCGTATAATCTACAGAATGTATTAGAAATTCTAAAAATGTGTTAAGTGAGCAACGTATTACGATAAGCGAATTAGCCAAAAGTCGGTAACTAAGATAAATCTATGCTTAAGTTTTTGGTATTTATATCTACTTTGAGAATGCGGAGTCTATATCTCCTTAGATAGATTCTTAGAAAATTTTCCAAAACTATTTGAAAACATACAAGTTGTCTAGAAGATCTCACAAGTCTAGTTTTTTGACGAACTACATTGCTATCATCTTCAAAATGAGATATTGTACACATTAGTATGACATTTTTTTGTAAAGTTATGACTAATTCACTCCAGTTCTCCCAAAATAGCTTATCCAGTTTAAAGAATTTTATCCTACGCAAAAATGTAGAACGACACCTTTTTTCCTATTCTAGGCACGGAAACTACATCGGATGTAGAGAGTCAGTGTTTATTTTAAACTTTTCGTTTATTCGTAAGTTCAGCTTGTTGGAAAGCTGTTTGAATATTTCCATAGTTTTAGAATTTTAAATTCAATAAAAAATAAGAAATGGTAAAAATCGGCTTTTCTACATTCGATGAGATTCAGTATTTAATTTGATTTAAAATCGAAACATCTCAATAAAATATTTTTAATGCCTGCAAGGTGTGTTCTACCTCTTACTTTGTCGAACAATGAGAGAAAACTGTTTTTGCGAACATCAGTTGATACTATGTATGTTTGTTGAAATTTTTGTTAAAATTGGATGTAAAAAAGAAGATATTTACTACTGTAAAGCGTCTTCGAAAAGTCATTTTTGGCATGCAGTAATCGAAGAGTTTTATATGAATAAAATTAATAATACAACGCGTTTATCAACACTCAAATTCGTAAATGGTGACGGAAAAACAAATTAGTATTAAAATTACGAATTATTTTTTACAATTTTTATCAACTTACTTTCTTCAAGCATTTTTTCGATTTTTCTACTTAATTGTCTGCTTTATCACCATGTCTTAATCAAGTTGAAATTTTACTTCCATCCAGTTTTTGTTAAAGTGTATGATGACATGGTCATCAAATCTATTGTTTCTTATTCTCTCTCTCTCTCTCTCTTTCTCTCTCTCTCTTTCTATTGTTGTTCATTCGCATTTGATCTTCTATTCATATTGTCGTTATAATTTTATCTTTTATTTCTTTAGACAAAGAAAATTCAGTGTGTATGTTAATAATTAAAAGCTGAAACTGTTAAAGATTCTTATCTTTCGCCTGTCTTTGTGTGCGTGTTATTATATATTCTCTTTTATACTTTATACACAGTCAATAACCGTGTACATACAATAATAATTAAGAGGACTTAATCAACGTTCAATATCAAATTTCTCAAATACATATTAAAATACACTTCCGGCAATTGAACACAATCATGCTCATGCACGTAGAGACAGCCAACAAAATGAATTGTTTATTTGTCAATGTACTATTAAAGAGAATAGGCGATGATATTATCGCTATTAAAGATCAATATTGAATATTGTGACTGTGATGACCAAGTAGAAACGAAAAACAGGCAATGGTATGTCACTCGGTCAGTGGAATGTGACAAAGGTTTAGGACAATCTTAGAGAATTAGATGCTCGTGCCGCGCTGAACAGAATAGGATAAAACTTAAATGCTAGATGCAGAATTTCTCAATAAGCCAATTATCCCAGATGAAACATAACTGACATTTAATAGGCCATGTAATGCGTTTTAAATATATGCTAAAAAAATGGGCCTTTAACACCCAAATAACTGTTAACAAGCCAGGTAACAGTCAGTTTATTGACTGTTATGTGATTATCGATAAAGGCTCGAGAAAAGGCATTTAACATACCACAAAATGTTGAAGAAAAGGCAGTTAACAGTCACTGTTTGCTGGAAATTTTTGGCTGTTATAATGGCAAAAAACAGGTATTTAACTGTGCATCCTAAAATGTAAAATAACTGTCACAGTTAAATGGCTATTAATGGATCATACTTCAATTACAAAATATACGGCGAAAAAACTGACATTTAAAATGGCTGTTTCATTCACCCTTTTATTTTGCAATCATGATATATGATATATGTATCATTGAAATTTGGAAGAAATTTGCAAAATTTTCTCTTCTCCGATTGTACGAGTCATCGAAACTTGTCTTATAGAAGTCGCTGCTGGTTCTGGATCTGGTACCATTGATGGCGCCGTGGATCCAAGGAACCAAAAATGCCAAAAATTTTGGACATCACTATATGTGGGGTAATCAGAAAAATTAATCAAATCAAAGAAACCGTCCTGGGAGAGAGCCGACTATATATCTTCATGCATATTTCTCCAAATCAAGATGTTTAACTTCGCGGCATCTTAAACCTGCCGAACTCATAAACTCTATCAGAAACTATGACTGCGAACTGAATTGCAACATGGTATAAAATCTGGCGAAAAAAGCGTAAACAGATGAAAATAAATTCGTTTAGAAACTTCATATTTCTTATCTACGGAGTTCAACGTCGGTCTTCTAGATACTGCAGGGACGATCTTTTACTTTCTACCTAAGTTTCGTTAAAAAGGAGGAGGGCAGATAAGCGTAGTTTCTGCCTCCCAATATTTTTCTATTGGAATCATGTCAGGACATGCCTAGGAACATTTCCTAACACTTAGTTTCGCGACATCTTTCCATTGGTTTTTTGAGGCCTGTGGTCCCCCTCAAGAATTTTGGAATTTTTTTCTTTTTGATCAACTTGAATTCCACATAGGAATATGTAATCAACCGAGTTGATCACGAATATGAAGATCGCGGCGCATAGAAAGTTTCGGTTCACGCAAAAACTCGACTTTTTTCAAAATCGAGTATAAATTCGCTTTTTTCTTCTTGCAGCATGGAAATATTCATAAAACACACCAATCGACACAGAATTTCAAGCTAAATCGACTGATATAATTTAGGAATACTTTTGAAGCTGTTCAAGTAGAAAAAGTCCAAAATACGTCCGAAAAATAGGCTTTTCGCTAGTATCTTGTTGTTTTTCACCCCCTTGTACACCTCCTTTTCAATTTTTGAGGCTGCCATTGGATAGAGAATGGTAAGTTGCATCTACTGACTGAAGTTTCGAGTTGCACGAGCTATGTTAAAGGGGTCAAAAGCAACAAGATACTAGCGAAAAACCTATTTTTCAGCCGTATTTCGGACTTTTTCCACTTGAACAGCTACTTCCTAAATTATATCAGTCGATTTAGCTTGAAATTCTGTGTCGACTGTGTAGCTGCCATTGAGTCGAAAACGCCGCCACTAATCAGTTCTCTAGAGCAGCCATCATTTTTGACTTCCGGCAATTGAACACAATCATGCTCATGCACATAGAGACAGCCAACAAAATGAATTGTTTATTTGTCAATGTACTATTAAAGAGAATAGGCGATGATATTATCGCTATTAAAGATCAATATTGAATATTGTGACTGTGATGACAAAGTAGATGGTGTCGATTGATGTGTTTTATGAATATTTCCATGCTGCAAGAAGAAAAAAGCGAATTTATACTCGATTTTGAAAAAAGTCGAGTTTTTGCGTGAACCGAAACTTTCTATGCGCCGCGATCTTCATATTCGTGATCAACTCGGTTGATTACATATTCCTATGTGGAATTCAAGTTGATCAAAAAGAAAAAAATTCCAAAATTCTTGAGGGGGACCACAGGCCTCAAAAAACCAATGGAAAGATGTCGCGAAACTAAGTGTTAGGAAATGTTCCTAGGCATGTCCTGACATGATTCCAATAGAAAAATATTGGGAGGCAGAAACTACGCTTATCTGCCCTCCTCCTTTAGATGCTTTCCAGTATAAAATAATTTACAAAATTTGAGTTGTTCTCTAGTTTCAGACAGGATGGTTTAATGTCTAGTACTCATTCCAACAGACTCCATCCATCAAAAGCAATTTCACTCGTACTCAAAACAGCGAAAAACATGTGGGCGACGGTGTTGATGAGTGAATGGCACAGCTACTATATCATTCCATGTTAAAAATGCTTTTTACGTCTGAGACACTCGTACTGGATCACAAAATGGTGAGAAAAATATTTTCCCATGGTACTAACAAACTCGCCAAGTTAACGTACTTTCCGATTAAAATCCGTTCTTTTAGCTCGGGCGCAATTTTAAGCAGACCTGTGATTTATTTCATTGACTGAGATTGGTGTTTGTAATAAGGCAGTTGAAGCTGATGGAGGAGAGACTGGAGATATATTGCTTGCTGTTGTTAACTTACTTAAGTCTTTTTTTAGTTCTTTAGCTAATTCATCTGTAGTGGCTGATAGTAATCACTCTCATCCTTCCTATATTTCAACTTTCGTACTTTAAACGCACAAATTATTTAGAGAAAAGATTCGAATCGAAATTATTAACCGTTATTGTTTTCTGGTACGAAAACAATAATTGTTATAACTTAATTTCCATTATTGATAATTGTTTCTTTAGTTACAAAAAGTTAACTTGTAACCAACTTTTATTTTCGATCATGATGTACATTTTTTTGTGGTCTAGTCCAGACATACCTTTTATTTAGTTTTTTTTTAGTCAAATTATTGAGTAATAAAATATTAAAAACTCTAATATAAACTTAAGTGAGATTAAATTGAGAGAAGTTGTACAGCGTTTGAATACGTACAGCGCTTACAAATTGGTGCCGTGACCCGGGAAGATTTATAAATAATTAATCCGCTCTTCTCACTCTTAAGAACTCTGATAAATTTTTGGTGATCAATATCTACGAATAACACACACAACACATATCAACATACAACATCACCTCACTTTCATCCATATCCGTTAATTGTTGCTTGTAATATATTGTACAATATTAAAAATAAAAAAAAAGAAAAGGACAATAGGAATTTTACAGCAAGTATATAAATAATTCTGTTAAGACAAGACGTTCCTTCGCTGTTGCCCTCGTTGGAGAAGAAATCATCCAGAATCTCAAAGTACGATGTCCGAGTCCGCAAAATTTAAAGCTGCTGCTAAGACTCTTGAAGCTGAAGAGGAAGTTCAAATAGTATTAAATAATTTTTCTCAACAACAACTACTTCCTATCCGCAGTAAATCAGAGCAAAACCGCTGTGAAGCTTGGTCTAACTCAGATATATCCACATCCGCACCTGCGGCATTCACTGCTTCAACAGTTGCCACCGTCGTTCCTGCTGCCGTAGCATCTGTATCACAGCTTTCTAGTCATCTGCAAGCTCTGACATTGATCACTCAACAATTAATCGCGTCAGGAGCTGGTATAGCACTTTCTGCTTCAACCTCGTCATCCAGAGCTGCCCTAGAACAACATCAGGAATATTGTCTTAGGATGGTGGATTCACAACATGTATCATTTCAACAACATCCATTATCAACAAATTCATATAGAAAAACAATAAATGATTCATTACCACCATCGGAACCACGACTCAGACCCGTGCCAATGACATCACATACAACTTTGTTGATAGAACAAGTTCGTCAATTGCAACACAAACTTAAACAGAAAAATCAAAAGTTGGCCGCCTTCAGGAGGAGAATGCAACTCTAAAGCATTCCAGTTCGTCTACATCAAATAAGCACTCATGCACTCAAACAATTGATGAATGTTCCTCTGAAATTTGGATAATAAATCTTAATCTCAAAGCTGCCATCAAGAAGTCAAAGAAATCGAGAAAATCATTAAAGAAACTTGATCGACGTCCATCACCATCCATATCAACTGGTGATGAAGAGATGACACCAAAACATCATTCACAAAAATCAACAAAAATTTTACAACCATCAACAACACCTATGTTGAATCTAACGATATCCATACCCGATAATATTACGAAATTCGGAGGGACAACAAAAGAGGCTCCGGGCAGATTAATTATAGAATATCAACAAAAAGCCAAAACTGTCTATGGATGGTCAGATCAAGCAACACTCAACGGAATTAGTCATTGGCTAACAGGTGCTGCTGCTGAATGGTATCAACAATTAGTGCAAAGTGATGAACTTCCAGCCACCTGAGGTGAATTTGTAAAACTATTTCAAGCTCGGTTTCAATCACTCGAACGAATAGAAGCTCTGAAAATCGAAAGAAATCGTTGCATGCGGCAGTCAGATGAATCCGTGGCAGATTTCTATCAGAGGTATAAGGGACTAGCATTAGAAATTGATCCTAAAATCTCAGAAAAAACGCTCAAAAGGCACCTCCTTCCGAAGCTACGTCTGAATATCCTTCAGTTAATGGGCGGAGTTGATGCTGATAAATTAGCGTTGCCAGATCTGATGAGAACAGCAGCTAAAGTTGAATTACACATGCTTCAACGAAAGAAAGGAGCTCAACAAAGAACTGGCGAATTAGCAGAATCCTCCATGGCAATGAAGTCTTCGAGAAATCAGGAACAACGAGAAATCTATTCATATACAACAAAAAGATGTTCAACTAATCCTGAATCCGTAGTAGCTGCCTTTCCCTAGTAAAAATCTTAGACACTTCTTAACATTATCTTACTAAGATCTTATAAGATCTTATCCTTTAAGATTTTGATAAGATAATCTACGATCTTATCGTTTAAGATCTTAATAAGATTTAATGACTCTGCTTTCATTCACCCTTTTGTTTTGCTCTCATTCATCTATATAAGTGACCGAAAATATGAGTGATTATATGCTTATTTTTCTTCCTGACTCTGCTGGTACTTGCTCTCTCGAAAGTGTTCAACAATTTTTAAGAGAGTGTACATGCAGGTCAAGGTCCATAGTTGGACACCTGAAAATATGAAATTTCTCTTCATTCTTCAACTTGGATAATGCGGATTAAAACTTGAAAAATTTTCAGTGAATCTCGGATAAATATTATTTAAAAAACGTTATCGTTCTTGCTATTAAGGTCCTAATATATTCTTATCCAATCTTGAAAAGTCTTAGACAATACAATCTTAGTAAGATCTTAGAATAATCTTATTAAGATCCTAGTAAGATTTCGCTTACAATACAATCTTAGTAAGATCTTAGAAAAATCTTATAAAATCTTAGAATTTTCGGGTCTCATGATCGTAGTAAGATTTGTTTAAGATCTTAGACAGATGTAAGCGAAATCTTACTAAGATCTTAACAAGATTTTTCTAAGATCTTAGTAAGATTTGAGTAAGTTTTTTACTAGGGATGGAGAATATTCAGAGGTACTGTTGTACGATTTAAGAGGCATATAAAGTTATATCCGTTTATTTTATTTATTAACGATAACACGACGAGAACACTTTAAAAAATTGAACGATTTCATGTAGAAAACAAATGAGTCATCAAGGATTTACATTTTTCTTTTGTTATTAACAATATCAGCGATAATGGGTATACGAAATGGTACAACGTCTGTTTTTGTTTGTGGATGAGCGTGACTTTGGAAACCATTTATGATATTTGAAATCTGAAAAAAGTAAACAGAGCCCCCTATAATCTTAGGACAATGAAAGTATTCAGATACCAAGTCTTCCAGACGGCATTTCGCTTCCAAAGAGTCGATGTTGGAGGCAAAATTCCTGTAAATAAATACTACTAAACACTGTCATTCCTATGTAAGTCTTGAAGAACTGTTTCTGTTCGTTTTCTCTTTATTGACCAGTTGGGGCAAATACTTTATCTATTTCATTCAGTATGAGAAATAGTCACATTGTATATTTGGATCGATTCTCATTGTTTGATTTCTACCATTATCCGAGATGATCATCACATAATTATTTAAAATGACGAGATCAAATACTGTTTTTGTTATATTCCAATCAGCTAAATGTATGCCAAATGCATCATAAATCTTTATTCCATAATTGAACACTACCACCCATCTTCGATCACAATCATCAATCACCATGTGAGTGCCGGAGCCACCTGTCATATTAACAAAGGAGGTTTCGGTCCAGTTATTTGAGGACACGGGGTTATTCCGATAAGAATAGACGCTATCACCACCATAGAATGTAACATAGAAAAATGTATCATTGACATAGGTGATACCGTGCGGTGAAGCAGCTGACGTATGAATGTAATTGACACGGGTGTAATTTCCTGATGGATTCATTGAAAAGAAGATGATGAGCTTATCACTGGTGGTGGCCACTGTTAACATGTTTCCGATAACAGCCATATCCCGTGGACTACTTAGATTTGTGTCGTGTATGTAAGTGATAAATGTCATATTTTTATCGTAGACGGCAATGTTTTTAGTTATATTTGCAACATAATAATACTGATTGTAATACAGAAGACTATTCGGTGTACCCACTGCTGTCAGATCATTTTTGGTCAATAATGTTAGATTATCTTCGTCAAATTGATAGAGTGAACCGTTGTTTATATTTGATATTGTCGCTAAATGGTCATTATCAACAGATTTTATGAATCGTGGCGATGGAACATTTAGAATTGTGGCTATTGAAGTAGCACTGATTAATTTGGAAAGTAACAAGCTAATATTGGATTCACAACACGTTTTAATGAGTATAGTTGATGTAGTTGGAGCTATTGTCGTAGTTACCTCTGAAGTGGTACTACTTGTAGTCGTAGTTGTTGATAATGTTATTGTTTGAATTACGCTTGTTGATGTACTTGTGGTGGAATCAGATGTTGATACCGTGCTGCTTGTAGTTGTCGATATTGATGTAGTGGTGTCTGGTGGCGATTGTAGAAAATATAATCTTGCACTATTGACTACCTGTATGTCAAGTATACTTGGATATTTTTTAAATAATAGGCAGGAATTGTTAAAAGCGTAACAATTGACGGCTACATAACCAGATGAAATATTGAATGTGTAACAAAGGCATTGAGTACAACTGCCATTCATCAGTTCTGAGGATGAATTATTGTTTGTATTGTCATTGTCTAGTAAAACCACATCTTCGATAAACCTTACCTGGATACAATTGGAAAAGTTGTTGAAAAAGATAAGTGGGATGATTAAACGGAAGAGGTACGGCCTTCTATATATAATTAAAAGATTCGGAATTTTTTTCTTCATATTTGATTGAAATTTATTAACTAAATGTCCGATATATTAACATATTATCATCAATAGTTAAAACAAAATACTCTATAGACCCACAATCTAAAATCAGAATAGTTTTTGAAATTTTCAAGACGATGTTTGCAGTGGTAAAATAGAAGTTAATAAACGTGAAATACAGGTGAATAATTGACACCGTTTTTATCATTTTATTAGAGACGTTTCGTTATGAACTCATAACATCATCAGTCGAAAACTGAAATGAATGAACAAGCAAGACGAAAGAGTATATATATAGACAATACAAAGATGTACTGTTCATTTATTTCATTTTTCGACTGATGATGTTATGAGTTCATAACGAATCGTCTCTAATAAAATGATAAAAATGGTGTCAATTATTCTCTTATTTATATTTAAATGTTTTCACCGTATAAACAAAAGAAAGTCTGTGATATACATGGTTTATCTATGTTTCTCTTATTTGTCGTCTCAGGTCGTATCTCGTATTTTCTTTTGTATTCTCGACTACTTTCTCTTCTTCTCACTTTCCCTTCCCCTTTTTCTCACCGATTTTCCTTGTCTTTCTTTATCTGTTTATACAGACCACAAACAGACTACCACTGTCTTTGTTTATCCATCTATCTATTGTTGGTCTCCACTGATGGTTAATGCTTGTTTTATTGCTATACGCCTTGTTGGCAATAGAATATGTATTTTCTAACCTTTTTCCTTTGAAAATGTTTGGCTCATTATCAAAAATAGCACTTTCATCGAATTTGATTTATTTTTTACATGAAACACCATGTTTAGCGATCTCTGACAATTCAACTTTTGCTTTGGATACATAATTGTGATATTGTTTTATTCTCATATCGAAACACTCACTTCCACCTACACCCAATGAACCGCATTGATAATAAAAACTGCAAATATCATATTGCTGAAAGTGGACAGGGAAAATCAGAAATTTAGGGCAACTTGGTACCAAAAGCCAACAGCAGCGAAAGCATGACTGGATTTTAGGTCAGATTACAACCAAACAATTAAAGAGAATATTGCTAGTAAAATACTCAGCAAAATAATGATGATAAATAAAAATGCGATTAATAAACTAGAGATCACAGATCTTTGTCAATTGTATTTGAATAGTGGTTATCCTACCTCCGTTCCGAACAGTATAAATAGCAAAGTTACAAATCTTATCAAAAACCAAAGTATTAAGAAAGAAGATAGAGGCACATATACATCTACTGTCGCTGATATTTAGGTTTGTAAACTATTTTGTTTTAACTAGTGATGATAACATGTTAGTATATTGAAACACTTCAGTTAAGTAGGAAGAAAAACCTGAAAAAAAACATTCAGAATCTTTTAATTAAATTTCCAACTTCGTAAACAATCATAGCATTAATTATAAATTCTCTATATTATCGAATTGTTCTTTTGTGTATTGCAGGAGAAAGATTTCTTTTCTTTGCTTTTTTCCGAGTGTTTCTGTCTAAAACAAACATTGTACCAGAACGATCAAAAGAATTTGTTAGTTTATGTTTCATTTTTACTATTAAACCGCCACGGGATCCATCTACCATTGCCTGTATTTGATCTCGAAACTTTACACTTCTTATTTAGACCTTGAGTTAAAAAATTCTATCATATTCAACATGGATCTAGCGAATCGTAACAGAGTTTGATTCCTGTAACTCTTATGTCAGTTACACAGTCCAGATGAAATATGTCAGTGCGCGAGGAGTGAGCGGTTGTTCAGATTTTTATGAAAAGCTAGTCAGAAAATTGACATATACACAGATTTCAGTTGTTATTTTCAAGCAATATTCTTTTACATTTTATAAACAACAGTATGTTATAAATAGTGAAATACAACCGCAAACTGTTCCAATAACATTTATTGAGATTATCATGATTGATTCATGACAGTTAAAAACACGCATCTATTCAAAAAGAAAGAAAACTAATGAACAGCTCAACCATTGGTTCCATCTCTACTTCGACCTTCTTCATCGACTACTAAATGTTAGTGCACTGCCACCCATTCTTTTTCTTTCGCAGCCTGTTGATGTTTTATACCAGGGCTCGAAACAGGCCGACACTTTTGAGGCCTGATCTGCCTGCGTCAGGCCCGTAATATTTAGATCTGCCTGGGCCTGTCGATATATTTCCTGGGCCTTGCCTGTCTGCCTGCCATTGCTCTCGGCCTATCCTGGCCTGGTCTGTAGAAGCCTGGTCATTTTTTTAATAAAAAAATGTACAAATAATAGTAACGTAAGATGAAAAGAAAAGTGACAGATAATTAAACACTATATCTGAGTAAAAAAATTTGGTTTTTGTTCAAGTATTTTCTGGACTGACCTAACTAACAAGATATCCTCAACTGTGTCAGGATTGAGTGATGCACGGCGTTCATTAATAACCAGGCTAGACCGCCTGGTGTTTTCAAAGGTCTGCCTGAATCTATTTCAGTTTAGACCTGGTCTGCCTTAGCCTGGTGCAGGCCGAAAATGTGTAGCCTGGCCTGTCTGTAGCTGGCAGGCCCAGGCAGGCTGCCTGGCTTGGTTCGAGCCCTGTTTTGTACAATGAAACACATTGTTTATAGCCTTTGTTACTTTGGATTTGTCATTTTCAAAATTATATGGATGGACCAAACTTACAAAATCTAAAGGAAGAAAGAAAAAATTAAACATGTATATTTTTTTACAGGTTTACCAAGATACAGCTGAGCCTGCTAGTCCACTGGAATGGATATTGGACTTTAACGGAGACGGTTTCCTCAAGTTGCAGAAAAAATATTATTTTTATTTTCTGATGATGCCTGTTTTAAACAACTAAGATAAAGCAATAAAATTGTTCTTTATTGTGTTTTTGGTTATACAGGTATCACTAAGGCTTCTGTTTACCAGATGTTATAAGTTACTAAACGTTTACTTTCTTTGTGATGTCCTTGCTTATGCAAAATAAATTTGAACTTGAACTTGAACTAACAAAACAAACGCAACATCATTCGGGTTTTGTTATTATCCTAGTATAAAACGGATAGTCATGATCATTTCTTTTGGTGGTAATCATAAAAACAGCTTCGAATACTGGTCAAACATAAATGAATGACCAAGACCCATTTTGTTTTGTGTTGATAGTTGCTATTTTTACAACATGATGCATTCACTGCTTCTTTGAACTTTGGCCAATGATCATCCCGAATCTTATTGTTGGATGAACGGTTTTCTTATATTCACGAGCTTTTTTCTGAGATATTTCGTTTTCGTTATCACTTCTTTGTTCATCGTCAGCATCATTTGAAAGACATCTTTTATTACATTTATTGCAAACTTTAACACAAAACTTCGAGAAGAGGTTCAGAAAGCTAAATGAATAGCGTCTAATAAACAGCGAATATATAAAGCTGCATCGTCTTACCCATGTGGAAATTTTGATACCCTTCACGATTTGAACGCGCGTGGAAGTTGTTTAGAATATTTCGTAAAACATTGCTTTACACGCCTGATTAAAAATTCTTCTCCATTATTGAATCAGCGACACCTTACGACACCAGAAACCCAACTTTCGAAACTCTTTTTCAACACTTTTATAAAATAGCGCAGTCAATTATCGTTCGAATGCGACGTTTTTGTGCTAATTGACATTACAGGATCGGAATGCTAGAAGACGCTTCTAAATCATCGTACATAAATAAAATTGCAGTTTTGCGACAACCATAAGTGATGAAAAGTCCGACGACATCTCATTCGACAGCTGGTTTTTGAGATCTCAAGATGTTCTCAAAGGTGTTTATTTAACATTTTTATCATAAGTAGTACTAAGTGTATTGTCTATATATATAGAGCGTCGAGATTTTATTCTCCGAATGTATAAGAAAATAGAGTTTTCTCTACAAAAGAAAATCTTGAACTTTTTAGCTCTTCTCGAGATAGTCAAAAATCAATGGAGAGTAATATGAAAAGCTACCTTTTCAGATGAATTCTTTTATCAGTGGCAGCGTGAAGCACCAAAAAACGCAAAATTATTTTGTTTTTCAATACGATATGAAGATGTGCTTTTACTGTTGTTGTCAGCTTGAAATAAAAACAGAATTCTCAATATTTCTTTTATTCCGATTCTAATAATTCAATCAATAGACATTTACTGGCAAATAAAGAATTCTCTTAAGGAAGCATACTTTTGGAACACAAAGAACAGAAAAGATCTAATTTTCACCGCTAAAATACTGAATCTGAGTGATGTTTTCAAGCCATTTTGACTTGTTCAATGAAATCTAATAATAACTCCAAATATAGATCATTTTTTAAAGTCTTTTTTATGAAAATGTTCAGAAACAACCCTCTATCTGTCTATGTAACTTTCAAGGTAAACTAACATCGCTTTGGTACAAAAATACCGAAAATACGATATCGAGTCTATAATTGTGAAGAGGCAAAAAATGACGGGTTTCAGTAAACATTTGTTTTCTCGAACTTGAAAGTCGTATTGAGCAAATCTGATTTCATATTCGAATAGAGCATAATCGAATGTATGTAGTCACAAACATTTTTCTTTGCACAAGAGTGATCAAATAACTGGATTTGAACAGATGAGTTTATAATTTTACACAATACTGTATCTAACGCGAAAGAGAAGAATGAGAAAACAGATGACTAGCAGAACTTTTGGCGTTCAATTCCAGAGACATTCTGTTCTAATATATCGTGTTCTGAAGATTCTTTTACATTCTATGGGCCAAAGACGAACTGTAAAGTTTTTTCATCATCTTAAGTATGAACAAGTACAATGCAGTCAGTGATGCTCGTTCTTCTTTGAGGTTCGAGGCAATTAACCGCCAAGGTCAACGAAAACTGACGTCTAGTAACTCATGCATATCTTGTTTAAATAATAAAGACTATTCACAGGCTCTTTAGGAGATTGCTCGTTAACAGCCATCATTTGTTGTCCGTCTTTCACCGTGAAACAACCATGGTTCTAAAACAACCATTTAGAACTGTAAACTCAGATACTTGAACTAAAACTGACATCAGCCGCTAACTGCTAATAGACCACTTTTGAACAGTTAATATATCAGGAAAAAATGAGCACTTAATGTAGTAGTTCGATATCAGCTTTTCTCTTCTTTGAGACCCTCGAAAATTCTGCTATTTGGTTCTGTAGTTTCGGAGCGCCTGGAAAACGTCGCATAATGAAGCCAAAATAGTAAGTATCTTTGAGCTTGGGTTTTTCGAAAAACGAACTTTGAACTGCTTGACGAGAAAGAGCACACTTGAAAGTGTTCAAAAACATTTTGACATCTGCTCCGTTGTCTTTAGAGTTGTTTAAAATACTCGAAAGTTTGTAGAGCAAAATAGCTTAGAACGTTGGTCCATTTCTACGTGTTCTTCGTTTGATTTTTTTCCTTAACTTTCAGTAGAAATCAGTCTGATCAGATTTTGTGGCGAATTTGACGGCGTATCGTCTGGAAAAACAATCAGGTCTAATGGTTGAAAAACAGATCGGAAGATCCTCAATAACACGTAGAAGAGTTCGCATTTGGCGTTAGTTTCGGTATAAGTGTAAATTCCAGTTAGCTCGAAGCGCGCATTACTCGATGAATCCCAGCTTGCAATTTACGATACACCTTGACGAACTCTACAAAATGAGCTAGGTCACCTCGCTAGCGCTCTGAATCGATGTACCGGCAGTATGTTTCAGATAAGCGTATCTATATTAAAAAGTGCGAACATTTAACATAATTTTCTGTGATATCTTTCTCAAACATATAAACGACTGTATGGATTAATAAACAATGAACAGCTTTAATAAAATATCAGCTAACAACGACGCCCACATTATGGGACTGTTTAGGTACAATGCAGAAAACGGTGTTCTACTGGAAGCGAAACATTTATTCTGATAAGATAAACTCAAAAAAGAATCCCTCTTAAAAATAATCTACAAAAGCACATACAAAATTAAAAAATCAGACCTTTTGTACAATAATATATGGACATCATCATATCACTGTATATGTTATCAATGAAATATTGGACGGAAAGTTGAAAATAGTTTTTATTATTTAGCACAGATATGTTGAGTAAAACACAAGCCAAACATAAGACAGTTTAAGACATGTGTTCGATAATAAGAAATTTAACACATTGAAAATTATCAAAGAGGGACTAGATAATAAATGTGAAGAAAGTAAAAAGCCAAATAGGAATATCAGTAGACATTTGTAATAGGATTGGGCTGGCATCAAGGAAAACCGGCATTGTTAAGATTGTTCGGAACAAGTAATATCAAATGTCATGTGACTAAAACGCCACATTTTAAAAAAGATAATTTCAGCTTTTGCTCGAGAGACAATTTGACACTACTTTGATGGCTTTTTGACACTCGATGAACGCTAGAATAGAAAAAAACCCCACCGTACAATCAAGTATATGTCGGATATACTCTAGTTATAGCATTAAAGATTAGGGAGTAACTGTTCGCAGAACATACTATTGTATGAAATTTGAATGAGCTGTTAGATGTTGCTAACTGAGCAACATTTGATAGATCAAAACGCGCTGATATCGTTATAGGGATATGATCAGGTTGAATTGGATGCAATTTTGTTAATGTTTGTGTTGAATCGCTGTTAGCATACGATGAAACAGGCATTTGTGAAGTTGGGCGATAGTTTTCTTTAGTTTCTAGTTGACGATTTAAAAGTGGTGCATTGGAAGTTGTTGAACGTATTGTTGTTATCATTGTTGGTGGTTGAGTAGTACTAGTTTCCGAATTTTGTTTTCCAAATACCGTAGTCGTTTTTTGGCGTTGCTGTTGTTGTTGTTGGTGTAGTTCGAATAAACGTCGTTGATTCTGAAATGATCATACGGAATTGGTCTTGTGATTCTAATTAGTGATTCTCCTTACTAAAATTTGATTTATTGGTGGTTGAATTTGACGAATATCTAATGGTGGTCGATAGTTTGGAACGCTAGTAACCACTGTTGATTTTGCTCGCGACGTACGCCCATTGCCTAATAGTCGATCATTTACTAGGTATAGAAAAGGCTTAATTAAGGCAATATTTGCAGAATTACTACGAAGAGATTTACAATGCAACGATAATCGTTTTGTCACATAATTGTTTGACAAAATCCTTTCTCCTTTATCTTCTTCATCTCCAAGTTCAACTTCACATTCGTCATCTGTCAATTGACCATCATCCTATGAGCAAAAGTAGAAAGAACGCTAAGCTATGCTACTTTTATATCAAGTAGCATTACTTACCTCTTCTATAGTCGCTGTACGATTTAACAATGGTGGATAAGTGGTTGATGACACAATTGTAGAATCTTGTTCTAAACCTAGAACAAAAAAGGTTATTATTCGACAACATTATCTAAAAGATTTTATCCTATATTAGTTAGATAGTGACCAACATGTAGAAAAAAATTAACACGAAAGTGCATTTAGTGTGAAAATGATATTGGAAATTAGTTAACTTTACACAGCGGGCAATTTTCCTGCGCCATGTGGACATAAGCCTTTTTTTAGTCAGAAACGGTTTTTTCTTCGTCAAAACAGTAGTCTGAAATGCAAAGAACAGTTTTTAACAAAAAATTCTGTTTTCAAAAAAAAAGTTTTCGATCAATGGGGTCCTTGCCCATATTTTTTGTCAAAATATTTTTTCTTTCGAAATATGATTTCTTACACAGTATTCGATACAGTTTTCAGTGCTAAATTCGAACATGATATTATTTTTTCTTGAGAAAGTTTCTATGTTGAGAAAATCAGATTTCACCTGAAAGATCATAGATTTTTGGAAAACCTGCCGGACGATTCAGAAACGTTTGTGCTAATTTGTGCCAATCGTATTGATTCAGCATAATCTGCAGATTATTTGATCAAGTTTGAGCGCGTTTGACAAATGGATGTGGGTGGATTTCACATTTTAGTAATCATAGTAGTTAGGAATTGTTAGTCTGAAAATATGTTTTTTCTCGCTACTTATAAATCTGAACTAAGGAAATTTTGCGCCGATAAATAGCCCAAGGTATCTTTATTCAGAATCTATACGGTTTTTAAATCTAGAGTTAATTCATTCAACAAAAAATGCTTTTTTCCTAAAACATCGGTTTTTCAGGCTAGTTTTCCGCTAACGAGGGAATCTTCCTAACTGTTCAATCGCTTTTTTTCACCAAATCTAGTGAGTCACAGGTTACCAATCACGCTGATTCCGAATATCCATATGAGACGGATCGCTAGACCTTCCTATGACAGTTTCCCAAAACTTTTCACTGAGACATTTTTCTGGGTAGGAGAAGTTTGATTTTTTGTAGAGTTTTTGTCTGTTCTGTGACACAAGTAAGTTCAAAACCTGTTTATTATTCATAATATCTTTTTCTCTTATCCGTAACACATGGTTTCTTATATTTATTTACACGCCAGAAACGTTCTTAAAAAAAAGGTTCTCAGTATGACTCCTTATCTGGAATCGTCTCTTGTGCACAATTTGTCGTCGACATTACACGACGTAAACACTTAAACAGCACAAAAGTGATTAGCAGTCCAAATCAGAACATTAGAAGATTATACAATAGTAAGTTTTTTACAATAGCAGCGCTTTTTTACGATCTTCCGAACACCGTCACTTTCAAACGCCTATAACTCCGTAAAAATAAGTCCTAGAAGCTAGCAAATTTTTTCATAACCCAGTTTTTGACAAAGAATCAAATGATGTAATAAAAGGTATAGGTTAATTTTTAGCATAAAAGGCCTTTTCTCGATAGAGTCAAGAAACCTCTCTTAAATGTTCATTGCCACTTCATAGCTACAGAAAGAAAAAGCAAAAAGGAATTTAGCGCTTTTCTTGTAAATTCTATAACTTTGCAAAGAAATATCGTGTAGAGCTGGTAGATGTCTCATTTCAATCAGAAATTTGCGAGCTACAATCATGACTCATTAAGAAAAACTTTTGTTATTTTTTGAAGTTTTTGAAAAACTGGTTTTCTAGGAAACTGCCATAGGAAGGCCTAGTGATCCGTCTCACATGGATATTCGAAATCAGCGTCATCGATAACCTATAACCCACTAGGTTTGGTGAAAAAAGCGATTGAACAGTTAGGAAGATTCCCTCGTAAGTATTTTCCGGTAAACCATGAGATTTGAAAATAATTGTTTTTATGCCATTAAGCAGAGCACCGCAAAAGTATATGAGGCTGTATTTGAATCTCACTTTCGAAAATTTTCCAAATGTCCACATGATTGCCTACTGTGCACTATATATTTTGATAAATTTTTAGGGACTCTTTGCATTTTAAGAAAAGGGAATCCAGTGGTACTGGAAAATAATACTGGGTAACGGTTAGCTGACGCTGTTAAACTCAGTACTGATGAAAAAGTTGTCGAAAACGAAAGGTAATATTTGAAATACTAAGATTATTTTAATCGATCAGTTTTTCTCAATCTCTGATATTCTAATAGGTCTAGTTCGAAAATCTTTCTTTTTAACAAATGTTAGTTTACGTGTTGCAACTGTCATATAGTTTAGATTAAATAAAATCACAGCAAATCGAGTAGGAAAAAAAAATCAATATATTTTCCTCTAATTATACATTTTGTTCCTGTAATTGTGCCCGTGAAACGTGCGGCTGGAAATAATGCTGAAAAAAGACAGATGACATTCAAAAGAAGAAGAAAGACATTGCCGTTGTTATCATTTATAGAATAATTAAAAGTGGACACGAAGAAGCATCACACATCTACGACAAACTCATACACAGATTAAACAACTTACTATTTAATCGTTTAAGTAGATAAGTTGCTGTAAATGCATCACGATGTTCACTACATAATTGTGGTTCATTAATAATAGTAGTACTACCAGAAGGTGTTGAGGAATAGCGAAGTGCATATGATTCTGAAAAAATCGGAGACAGCAAAAGTTCATAGGAGCAATGAGTGTGAAAAATCTATCTTGACGTTAATTATTATTATTATTATTATTAAAGGAGAAGATGTTACCTTGTTCATTATTGGACATGTTCTGCATATTAGGCGCAAACGATAATACATCAGACTGTCCGAAAACATCTTGTGTAAGAAGATTTAAATAGTCAGACTAGAATTAAGAGTTTAGTATTAATTATCAAACCAAACACAAAAGGAAAATACAACAAGTAGCAATGTGTATGGTTATATTTTACGAGCTATTTGTTATAAAATCAATTTTTTTTTCTAATAATAAATAGCTCGCATTCAAAGTTAACGTTGTTTTTTAACAACTTTATGTATAGAGGATAAGAAATTGACACATTTCAACTGATAAGAAGTTTAACGATCAAACACATTACAGAAATATTAGTTAAGAAAAAGATTGTAAAGCAAGTGTCAAGCGAGATCAGCTTAACACGCAGAAAGATTTTCTAAATAATATTTTTATAATATTAACAGAAAAAGATTTGTTTAATGAGCCCTTACAGCAAACATACATTCATACTTTCCACTTCTTCTACCTGATGAAAATATATTGTTAATTATTTGCTGTAAAAATAAATATATGCCACATTGAAAACTTAGATATCAAATTAATAGTTAAATCTGTCTTTTCACTCTAGAAAATAGATTTTTAAAAATGTATTTTTTCTATACCTGTGTACGTTTCGTTCGATCTTCTAGGCCTCCACTACCTGCATTGACACGATTATTTGATGAAAATGTTGGCCAACGATTTATTCGACTAAGACCATTTGAACCATCGAATTTATTTGAATTTAAATTCTCATTTAGTCGACGTTGTTTTACTATTTGTTGATAATTATTACTAATATCAGAATCTGTTGTTACCTAATAGAGAAACACACAACACTAGAATAATTAAAATATATTGAATAGGTGTAAAGCGGCTGATAAATATGAGAAAAAGCAAGAGAAATGCTAAGTAATTGAAATGAATTGAATAAGCAAGGTATAAATTAATGACGATCAATGAAAAATGCATTTTAGGTTAAAAATAACATATCTTCTGATCGTTTTTTTCTTAGTTTAAAGAAGTGTAGATAAATACATTATCTAATCAATTTTGATATATGACATGCAATAAGAATATTACATAATCTAATTGAAGAACATTACGATACATACAAACAGCACCTACCGCATCCAATTTGAATAAACGGTTACTATATGGCACGAAAACATTATTAAAAAAAGAAGTATTAAAAAAAGGTATTAAAAAGAAGTACCGTTAGATTTTTTTCAAGAAATTAAAACAAAAAATAGAAATATTGAACAACTGTTATTATCATGAAATGTTGTGTAAACGAGAAGAAGAAGAAGAAGTAGAAGAAGGAGGAGGAGGAGGAGGCGGAGAAGAATTTATAAAGTCTATCGGACACACATATATAACTAATAGTTTTCACATGCAGGATGCAATGCTGGTCATTTTTATTTTTATATTAAAATTTATTATACCATCTGTTTTTCATCTCTTGCATTTAAACATGCATAACATTTACATATTCTATTTGAATCTGATACGGGCCGTCTTTTAGTTTTATGCTTAACGAAAATTTTTTTTTTTCCGTAATTGCTTCACCTTCTCTATCAAATAAGGAAAAAACTTACCCGAGAAAATGAAGCATCATCATCTTGTATCTCTGTCATACCCTTGAAACAGAAGAAATAAAAATAAAAAAAGACTATTGGAAACGATACGATATTTCAATTAAAAAAAGTAAAACAAAATAAAAAATAAATTTGATGGTAATACGAACTGTTGTTCATGTGTGTGTGACAGAAAAAAAAAAGCAAATGATAGTTGAATGCTGTTAGTTTAATATAATTACAAAAACTTTTATTGGGTGATAAACATTTGTTGTTGTTGTTGTTTTTCTTATTTGTTGACAAGTTATGCGGTGTATGCATAAATATGCATTAGTAAAAAATAATTGTGCAAAATTTAGAACAGAATTGATGGTGGACACAGGGAGATAAGGAAAGAGACAACTTACGATAGATGGCAGTTGGGAACGTTTAGCTTTTGATAATACTAAACCAACGATTGGCGAAGTTTTAGACTGGAAATGAGAAAATATAACCATATTTTTGTTTAATATTTTACCTCAAAATACATGAATTAAATATTTTTCTCAAAATATTTCATCTTTTTACAAGATAGATAACAAATATTTTCTTCGCAAAAAGCAGAAGTTTCTATTTTATCACATATGTGTTTTAATAAAATTTATTATTCTTACTTTATCCACATTTTCTTTATCTGTTTCATCTTTTTGTTTTACTTCTTTCTTCTTTGTTATCAACGTTTTTTTTCTTATCTTTTTCATACGTGACTAGACAAAACATAAATAAATAAGATAAATTTTAAGAAAAAATGTACAGTGTTTTTCTTCGTATTTTCTGTACCTTAGCAGCTGCAATGGCTTCAAGATGTTTTGGTAGACCATCATCAATTGAACTATCTGAACCACCATCATCACTGGAAAAAGAAAATATTTATTTATTGAAGAAAAGATGTTGTAATTAAAACATCTGTAATAATACCTTGAATCGTCATCTGATGAAAATTGATAAATATCTATATCAGTCAATGATGATGGTTGTATTCCACGTGATAATAATTTAATTTGTATTGTATGTCGAAGATCATCTTCTAAGTCGTTTAATATTTGTTTACACTAAAACAATAAATTCAATAATTATATACAAATTTATATTAAAATGAGAAGAGATGAAATGAATAAATCATTAATGAAAAATAGACAACATCTAATTGAGTAGTACAAAGACAGAAAAAAGAATATACAAAAAGATATGTGAATGTATGGACTTGCTTTCTCTTTAATCAGTCGTAATCATAAAGACACTGATATATGAGAACAAGACTTTCAATATTTATAAGTAATTATATTAAAATATTTCTTTTAATCACGAACGTAGAATAAAAGCTTTAAGAAGAAGAATAAGCATTTCTAAATTTTGATTCTATTTCTACATCACTGAGCACAAAATATGATACTAAACGCAGGAGAAAGTGATCACAACACATTTATTAACCGATAATTGCACTTTTTGCGAATAAATTTGTATATTTTTTGTCTTTGGTAATGAACATTTAATTTATCGATGTATAATTGTACTGGATGACTTTTGTTTTTGAGCTTGATGCACTTTGAATTGTACGCCATAGTCTGTTTCGAACGCTATTTTCCAATGGAGATGTAGTATGAAATGTTAAGAAATCAAGGATAATAGTATTTTGCTTTTTTAATGATAATTTTGATTTTATTCTCTCATGATCAATATCAGCTAAGTAATTTTTTTCAAAAACGTCTTCTCTTGTCATTAAATAACCGTTTAATAACGTTTCGTATAATTCTTGACGATATTGAACCAGATACATTCTCGTTTATTTGAAACATTTCATTTAAGTATCAGATAACGGAAGAAAAATGTATGTTTTGTGACAAAATATCATTGATTGTCTAGTAATAAATAAATTTTTATTTTTTTTAATTGACACCTACTTTTGTTGGATCTGGATCACAATAATCTAATAGTGAATCAAGAACATGATAACCAATTGATTCGAGATCTTTTATTGTAAAATGATGACCAGCTCTATTATCCAATGTTGAACCACAAAATGTTGCCTGAAATCAAATAAAATGTAAAATTAACTAACTAAAAATTGATTTCAAACTAATTGATATACTTCTAATGTAAAACTGTTTAAAATTCCCATCGACCACATCACAACTCGACCAGTTCCTTCTTTATGCTTTTGAACTTTAAATTTACACGAACAATAGGAAAACTAAAATACAAAAATAAATACTATTTGTTAGCGAACACATGTTATTATCTGTAAAAGTATCAATTAAGCTTTTACTATTAATCTGTCGTAATGTAAGATTTTATATACATTAAGAAATTATATTTACATACGATTTAATTAGATTTAACTCACTTTTGTTGGATCATTTTTTGATAACATAGCCGGATAGATTCTTTCTTTTAAACGAAGATTAGGTAAAGTTTTATTTTCACAACCGTATATAAAAACATTTTGTTTCCTAAAAGTTACTACAGAATAATTTTCTATTCATATTCTGTAAGTGTTTTAAATTATAAAATATACCTTGAGTGTCCATGAAAGTCACAATAAAGTACTAGTTCTGCTTCAGTCATAAATCTAAAAAGAAAAACCGTGAAAAATGCATTAATTACGCTTTTTTTTCCTTCTTACTATACCTTTTTATCATTTCACGTGTATGCCATATTGATGGATAGGCATCTTTTAAAATTGTTTTATAATTTCGATTAAGATCTCGACCAGATAATGAACAACGATAATTACCAACAATAACACCGTCTAAAAGAGACAAATTTAAAAAATGCTAAAAAAAGATATAAAAAGGGGATACTTACCGGGATTCAACATAGGTATTATTTTAAATATGAAATTCTCACGTAAAATCTATAGATAAAAAAAGATATTAAGAATTTTATTTATACAGTAAATGAGAGTTGAATGAACATACTTTTGCGTCTGGTGAATTGCTTAATAAAAAATCTAATAATCCTTTCATCATCCAACTACCATTTGTTTCACCTGGATGTACTCGAGCGGTGATGACTACTCCTAAATTGCATAAGTTTTTCTTAAATACACTCTAGTCTACTGAAATCTGTCAATCTTTCTTCAGACAATAACCAATTATAACATCATAATTTGTTTACCTTTTTTAACTCGTTCACTAGTTGATGGATGATCAGTTGATGGTGGATCTGTTATTGTAAGTAGATAAACAAAATTACCAGCTAATGTGCGACATAGAATTTTTTGTTTACAATATTGACTTTTAATTCGATCATTTTGTACATCTGTTAAAGCGTCCTATTTTATCAAAATAAATTATATATTGATTCGATGCAAAAATCATTTATTTTCATATTTCAAACCTGTAAATCAGAATATGTGTACGGATAACAATGCGCAAAATAATATGTATCATTATCATTTGGAAATTTACACGTCCATGTTAGAGAAAATAGATTCGATGTTCCATCTGGTGAACTAGAAAAAGTGACTTATAATATAAAAAATATATTTAATGAAAAAATAAATTGTTACATACAGTAAATTATTTTTATAATATACGATTTCTTCACCCCATCGTCTCCAGCCGATACTTTTACTTTCAGCATCACGGACACTATACATTAATGGCTTCATTCCACTACTATAGAGGCTGGTTGGCTAAAAAAACGATTAATATCAATGAGTAACCATGACTGATACTCTCGACCGAAATCATCTATGCTATTGTGATATTAATAAGCGACAAAAATAAATGTTTAACTATTCTATGACTCTTCTACATCTAAACAAACTTACTTTAAAAAAATTCACTATAGTAAATCGATATCTTCTATTTGATTTGATATTTTCCATACGAAAGTAAAACCATTGTGTATTTCGTTTTGTATATAAATCGTAGCGTAAATAGAGTTCATATTCACATTCACCTCTAAAAATACGAAAGTAAAATAATATTAGATAATCTACAGAAATGACCATCTTACACTTGAACAGCTTTCATTAAATTTCCACTTTCAAAACGAGATTCAAATATAACTGTCGTATCATCTTCGCCACGAGTAGCAACTGCTGCTTGTCGACAACCTTCTCGATTTCCGCCAATACGTGAACGAATAAACTAAATTAGAAATCAAAGATTATGAACTGAAAAACATAGAAAATGGAATCTTAATAGTTTCGTTTATTCTTGCAAGAGTTACTTACATAACCGCATGTTTCAGGATTATATTGGAAAACTACTCGTCCATTTGCTTCATCATAACTACGAACAAATGGCATATGACCAGTGGCTACAATTACACGATGTTTTTTAAACTGATGACATTGAATCGTATTAATTAATACGATTTACTTGGTTTATAAAACAATTCTGGTTGTGTTGGAGAAGTGAGAATATGTTTAACACGTGATTCATTTAAAACTTCAATTTCGATCGGCCACCTCGGTTCATTGGAATTCTCATCACCAAAACCGCTACGTAACAGGCCAAATGGAATGCGTGCTGGACGAATATTTACCTTAAATAATAAATGAAATTAAAAGTTAAGTTTCAATAGACTCTTTTCCTTATACTTACTGCACGTTGATCAGGTACAAAAGCTTTTGCTTTCAATTCTATAATGAGAAAAAGTAACAAACAATTTTTATTAAATTAAAGTACGAAACATGAAACAGATACACAAAAGCAATAAAAATAGCTCAAAACAAATGTGAGATTCGCATGCACAATATACATTTTACAAAATCTATTTATCCAAAAAATGTTTCTTAAAGGCCAGATACTACAAGGATTTGAGCGAAAGTGTGATATTTTACTCATGCAACTTGTTGTGTTTTGATTTAATTAACAATAACGCAACGAATAATCAATACATATATCAAATGATAACGCACTTTTTCTTATTACAAGCATATTTTAACATGATGAAAGTTTTGAGTACAAATGAAAATAGCCAATGCTAGTACTACTAAACGCTTGCCTCCTCCAGCAACGGGTGAAGCTGAAAATGAAATATCAACAGCTCCACAAATACCACGTAGAACTTAAAGAGGAAAACAGATAGGAAACTATGTTGCCATGTATTTTTACAATTAAGAAAAAACATGCAACATTTTCATTTCTTACCAGATAAACAACGTAATGACCGACGTGAATTAGTCTTTCCTGAATAAAATATAGTTTGGCATCTTATTACATAGCAAAAAAAACAACAGATGCACAAGAATCTTCATCACACAATCTACTTATGTCTATTTGAAACATTTGCAAACTTACTTGTTTGTTCGTCGTCACTTGAACTCGAATCTGTGTCGCTCAATGAAGTCGGAAAAAGCGATTTTGATGGAAGGAAACCATATTTTCGTACTGTTTCGCTACGCCCTACAAAAGAATTAAAATATATCTCGATCATGTATAGACAGTAGTCTTAGTACTTACCAGTGAAATAGCCATAATGCTGCAAATGTTTGCGCATAAAACTATCGTATGGACTCTAAATAAATACGAGAAAATGATTATTATATCCACTGAATAAACACGCTGTAATATTTACCGAATAAAGAGAATAATCCATAGAATCCATTTTTTTACTAAGCTGAACTCTTTTTCTTAATTAATCAAACTTTTATATTGAATGATCCCAAAATTCACGTAGATATAATGAGAATCCACAACATGCGGTACTGATTTATTGAGATATCGATTCATATAGTTTTGAGAAAGCAAGAATATTAGCATCAGAAATACAGATTCATCTATAAAAAGAACGAAATCAAAGAATTCATCTACGATGTCAAATATAAAATTTTGGTTTTTGTATCTCAACAAATTACTAAATAGGCAAAAGAAATGGAAGTTGACTGCACATAATGCACTATTTTTACCTATCAATAATATATAGTATATTTCTTCTATCGTATTATTTTCTCTTGTTTCTTCGGAGAAAATATTAGCTGATATTTATCACTCTTCATTCAATCGTAGTGTGTGCATGCGACTATTTTCAATATTTTTTCCTGCTGTCAATTACAGCACATATTTTTAACTCTTGATGGTTTGAAGGAGTCTTTTTTTTTGTAAACTTTGAGTTGTTTTTAACTAGGCGCATCGCTACGCTGTTTACAAGAGACCCATCAGCTACAAAATATGTTTTTTAAAATTGTTTTTCGTCGTCAGTCGTATCAATGATAAAAAAACGACATGACTCTACAGAAAGGTGTCGACTTGAATATATGCTTTTAAATGATAAAGAACTTGAAGAATATTGTTAATAATATAAACATTAAGATTGATCGACTGTTCTGACTTTGTATCCAACGTTCATCTAGACTTCTCTTCTGCAGCGGTAACGCTTGGCAACCAATGAATTTGATTATTAAATAATAGTCACTTATGCGAACAATTTTGATGAATAGTGTCGATTGGTCCGTAAGAGCCTATAGATTGATTATGTACATAATCCATTGATTTAGTGTAGTGTAACGTACAATGCTTTTATTGTAGAGTATTTCTTATTTATGTGCAGTGTTTCTATTTACTTTTTAATTACCCATGAAACATTAAAAGAGAATAATTTAATTATTACCTACAGGAATCTGTACGAATTCTATTCAACTTCTTTTCTCTCCAGTTAGGGTGGAGTACTTGAAGTATGAGAAACATGAATAGAAATAGTGCAATAATAGTATCTCAGGCTTGAAAATAAACTTTAGGCATTTAAGATAATTTACACATATTCCTTTTTAAAGACACTCGTTCTTGTGTCTCTTTTTGCCGTTGTATCATACTTTAATCTGTCAATTTCTTCCGATAGTGTTTCTAATCATATTTTGAAATAAAGTGCGACTAATCTAAATCTAAAACTAAGACTGTTTATTCACGAAAAAGTGAGAGTCATCAAAGATCTGTAATTCTGTCTAATAGACTATCAATTGACTAACGTTAATTATATTTTTTCTCAACACGACAAGTCATCTTTACTTGTATATTTCCTATGCATATTGTAAATGAAATGAATTTTATTTTATTTTCATGGGAGGCCAAAATAATGAGAAGAAACTGAAGTGTTCTTTTTTACCTACACTTTGCTTTTGCAAACAAAAAGGTATATTTTCAGATTTTTCATTCCTTAGACATACATTGCCACTGAAAACGTTTTATTGTGATAATTAGGTGTGTTTTCATCATTGATAGACTTCGTTTTTAGATTAAATACTTCTGACGAATAAACATGCCAGCAATTATAGATGAAACAATTGGAATACCTTTTTCGTCAAATGATCCTGTAACTCAAAGTATTATTGATGAAGTTCAAAATGAACTATTGAATGATGATGCGAATCTTGATGAAATTGGAGAAAACAATAATCCAAATAGTTTAAGTGAAAATGCATGTGTTGATACAAATCAAAATGAATTTGGCGATGTTCGTTTACGAAAACCAATTGATATGAATGAATTACGAGAATGTAAAGGTCAAGTAATTGAATTAGATCCAGCTGAAATTGCACAATTAGCAACTCAACAAGCCATGGAAGAAAAGGAAAATAGTCGACAAAATGATACATTGTCAACAAACGGTGATCGCTTTGTTAAAGATGAATTAAAATTTAAATGGCCAAAAGAAGATTTATATAAGCAACGTTTAGTGGATGGTACAACATCGTTTGAAGATCAATTGGTATTAATGCATCATATAATGAAAACAAATGGTAAAGATGGTATAATCATTGTAGGTGATAGTACAGATATTGGAGGTGGTATATGGAAAGAAGTCATTTATGCTGGCGTTGGTCAGTCACCTGCTCAAGGTTCAACTGTTCGAGTTCATTATAATGCTTATTTTGAATTTTCGGATGAACCATACGATTCTACATATATTCGTCGTCGACCGTTTGAATTTCGTGTTGGACGGTCGGAAGTATTACCAGGTCTAGATTATGCTGTGTCAAACATGCAACGACGTGAACGTTCAAAATTTATTATTAGTAGTGATTTACTCTATGGTTCAGTTGGATGCAGACCAAGAATACCGGCAAATGCATGGTGAGTATTTTTTTTTTAAATATCTAACTTTATTTGTATTTTTCTTCAATAAAACTTTTACAACGGATTACACGTCTGTATAATTCTTTTTCTTTTAATTTTATAGGTGTATATTTGTAATTGAATTAATATCGTATATCGATTGTACATTAGTCGATGAATTGGCATCAATGACAATGTCGGCTAAAAACGATAGTCATGATCATACAGAAGAAGATGGTGAACAACCAACGTATGATTTTGATAAACGATTAAAAATTGTACAAACATTACGAAATATGGGTAATGATGAATATGAAAAAATTAATTTAGAAAAAGCCATTCGGTATTATGCTAAAGGCAAACAATTCTTATTAAAAACAAAATTACAAAATGAAGATGAAGAAAAACAGTATCAACAAATGTTATTGAAATTATATTTAAATTCAGGTATGTTTAACACGGAGTCTCAGAGAGAGAACGTAGTCAACTACAAATTTTTTCTGTAAGAACAGCCAACAGAAAAAATACCTGCATCTAAAGAATATTCCAAGTAATCTCCACTTCGTTATGTCGCTGATTTGATCTCTTTCATGAATCGGAAGTTAAATTGTTTGTATTTTTTCGACTAGAGTCTGTGAGGCCATGGTTAAATTTTCATCTGATAAGGGCTTTATGATTAGCTGGAGGGCTTGAAATTATGGATCATTATCGTTATTTGTTCTAAACATTACCGAGAAATAGCATGAAATTTGTGTACTACAGAAAGTCCAGAATTAAGAATTAAAATTCGTTCAAAAAGACTTATTGGTGTTCGTAAATGGACCATCTAACTCAAGCTAGGAAATAATAACGGATTATATTAGTAGGACAGAGTAACAAGAAGACTGAAAAAGCTATCTTAGGTTGACAGAATGAAAAATGTGGTGAGCAAAAGACTTACGTTTATAATGTTCTCTTCTAGATAGTTTGTTGAATTCTTTTTCTCTATTTTAGCGCAGTGCTATCTGAAATTGAAAAATTTCAGTCGTACAATCAAAAATTGTCAAGAAGCGCTAGCACTTGATCCAAATAATGTTAAAGCATTATATCGTATGAGCATGTCTTATCGTTTATTACAACAGTTTGATCAAGCAAAACAATATTTATGCAAAGCACTCAATTTAGAACCAAATAATTATGATATTATTGATGAATTTCAACGATTAGAACGTGCAGTTGATAATCAAAAGAAAAATGAACAAACATTCTATTATAAAATGTTCAATAGTAACAGTTCATCAAACAACAAATAAGAAAAATGAGCAGACTTTAGTAACAGTATTAATATACTTCTTTTCGTGCTATTAAACCGGTTTTCTTTTTTTCTTGTTGATATCGGACTCTTGTCCATTAGATTTTCTGGTATTCTCTATTTTTCGAAGTTTCATGTTCATGTTTTTTCTCGTTACTAAATCAAAAAAACCTCATTTATAGTAAGTGAGTGAAAGTTTTTTTCTTGATACAAAAGTGATTTAGCAATTTGTTCAGATAAAAAGTCATACTTTTTTATGATGTTGTGTTTTTTTTTTGTTGTAGAAGAATTAAAGAAATGTCTATTTTTTTGTGTATTTAGTTTTTTTTGTGTGCTTGTCTGCTATACTTTTGTAGTTTATATCATTTCAAGGTAAAAAAATTTTGTGATAATAATAAAAAAGATAAGCGTTGCTTCAGTTTAACGTGTGAGAGAGACAGGCAATCCTTTTCTGACTGATACAATATCGTTCGAAGACGAAAAATTACCAGTGGAACATCTAATCTATATAAATGGCGGATCCGGATACCACCCGACGTGAGATGCAGCGAAGAGAACTCAGTTACAAAGCTTTATTTGAATGTACTGACACATCTTTTTCATATCTCGAGATACTCACTTTTTGGTCATTTTTTATGTCAGAGCTGGGCAACTCCGGAGTTAAGTTCATGACTGATTTTGTCAGTTCCAACTCCGAAACTCCAGTTCAAAATTTCTTCAACTGCATTTCCTTTTCTTCACGAGAGTTCTTTTTGTTTTGTTTTTATCTATTTTTGTCTATTTTTGTGTGCTCATCATATAATAACATATGATATACCTCACATCTTGCTGCACATGTATCGCACGAACGAGAGGAAAAGAAAAATTAACATTGTTGAAATGTAATTTTGATTAATTATAATGATTTTTTTGTGTGCTTACGATTATAAAAGAAAGCATGACAGCTATACGAACGAATTGAAAAAACAGGAAGGAAAAAGAATGAATAGATTTCAACTCGGAGTTGAAATGGAGTTGGAGTTGTACCTAGCCGTAGTTGCCCACCTCTGATATATATGTCTATTGAGAAATGTGTTTGTGTTGGTTGTTAAGTAGCATTGTGCTGTATTTGAATGTATTGTTCATTTATCTAGTCTTAAAGTAAGTAATCTAATATTTTGTATAGGACTGTTTATTTTTTTTATTATCTTACTGGTTTTTTTCATCAGAACAATTACAATCAAGGAGAATACGATAATTAATTTGTTTCCGCGTATATTCTGGACGAATAAAGCTTAAATAAATGAATAAATCTTCTAATGTTGTCAAATGTGTCATTTTTTCTCGTCTGTAACAGAATTCTTTTTACTAGAGTTTTACGACATAATGAATGATTCTACTAAATTTCTCTGAAGGACAGCAAAACATTTGTTTTTCTTCACCCGGCATATTGGAATAAAACTCAAAATATTTTGTTGTTTGTCATTGTTGTCCCAAATGAATTAAAAGGAACTTACACTATGGTTCGAAAATAAATGCATTTTTGGTAATTGGATAACACTAAAAAAAATTATCCCATAAATAGTTCTCCTGTAGAAAAATTATATTTATAAGTAGAAAATAGAGCTGTTCAAAAGTTACAAAATGTAAGCTAGAGTTCTCCATATTTCAACTAACAGCGAAAAAAAAAAAAGAAAAATTGTTTTTTTTGGATTAGTCCGTTTGAACTATTGAATCTTTTGAAAAATTGAAGTCTTAGTGACGAAAGGAGAGAAAATTATTGTGGAATATCTATTAAATCAATCACTTTATATCTCTGAGGATTTCTCCTAGAGATGCAGAATCTACCCGTGATATTGGAAAGTTTCCCTGGATAAAAGAAGTGTTGCAAAAAGTTTCCCGACATAATCCACGAACAGAATTTCTTTTTTCAAATATATTTGCAAAAGAAGTTCGAATTTTTCAAAAAATATCCTTGAGTCAATGAAGTTTTCCTTCGAGGACCGTCGGCGCAAACAGGCAGATTCTGCAGTTCTGATTTCTCCTATAATAAGATTCTAATGAAAATGAAATAATCCTAAACCGTATGATCAACACTTTTTGACAGATGGCGCCTGTTATTTCAAAAGAATCAATCAATTCTTTGCTCTTTCATCGATCACTGGCACTGCCTGGCAGCGGTGCGCACCCGTGCCCAACAAGTGCCGAACCGGTGCTGATATATTTCTGCCCAAAAAGTGCCACACTGGTAAAAATCAGTGCCGCGTGGGTGTCGTACTAGCAAAAATTAGTGTCGCACTGAAATTTATTTAATTAGTTTTTTATTATGGTTGTTCATGCTGAATTTTGTATTAGAATCCGGCACTGATCAGTATCACATTGACATGCCAAAAACATGCGGCATTGCCGCGGTACTTCTCTTATGAGAAGGAAAAGTTGAAGTCAGAAAGACATTCGAAATATTAGAAGTAGACAGACTATGGTGTTAATATAGAAAGAAATCGACAAAACAAAATGGTGATTGAAAACAAAACTTGGGCACTGGTGCGCACCGGTACAAGAGTTTTACATTCTTTCTGGCATCGATGCGCATCGGTGCCCAGAAAAAAAATTATTCGATACCGGTGCGCATTCGTGCACAGCCAGTGCCGATAAAATATTCTTTTGCAACATTCTTTTTCTTGTGTCTATGTTCGTTTCGTTGGCAATTCTTATTTCTATAGACTTGGTAAATAAATGTTTGAATAATTTCAAATGTTTTAGAGTCTAACATTTATTAATCAAAATGTTATATTATTTTCCACCTTCAATTAAGGAAAACGCGTATAGTACAAGTTGACATTAATTAGCTTCTTTAACACATGACTGACTTTTGCTCGGACTACCTTTCGCTAGATACCACATATTTTGTTTTTATTTTTTTATTTGTAATATATCTTATCAATCGAAGTCAACGATAAAAAAATTGTCATTTTTATGTACGTATGTAAACAATCGTAATAAATCAACTCTGTTCATTTTATCCTTAAAAACAAAATGTCAGACGAAAGTGAATCCACTTCCAAAAGTGATTCTGGCGAACCTAAACATTCTGGTGATACCAATAACAGTCCAGATAAAAAAAAACAAGAATCATTGTTCGCTTACGTCGGAGATGTTATATCAAAAAGTTCACGGTCTCAGAGTGATGATGCACTCAATACAGATGAAAAAGGACACAAAATATCAATAATTCGACAACGTTCACGATCAGCTGATATCCTTGACGCTGATAGTGAAGTGTCATCAGCCTTTGATCCCTATCCACAAAATGAACGCAAGAACGACACTGTAAATACGTATTTTTTTAAATTCAACTAAATTTAATTAAGTTCTATGAACGATTGCAATTCAATACTTTTTTTTAGGCTGATTTTAATTACGATACTAGTCCACTTATTGAAAGACGTGAAAGTAAACAGCAAAATTACAAGCAACCGGTTTATCTTAAACAAATTCAACCGCCAACTCCCGATCCTGTCGAAATACAAGTACATGAAGTTCTTGTTAAACCTCAAATACAACCACGACCAATACATGTTAGAATAGCGGCACGAGAACAAAAAACACCATCACCAATCTTAATTCAAAGTCAACCACCAAATCCGTTACCACAATTAGAACAAAATATTGTTTATAAAAAATTTATACCCTCTCCTCAACATGCTCACTCTCAACAAGTAATTATTCATCGATATCCAGAATTACCTCCTAAACCAAGACCAATCATTATTGAACAATGGCTTCCATATAAACCGGCACCAAAACGTATTACCTATCGTCATATAGATCAAAATGAGTTACAACAAACGGTTCAACAACAAAAAAATATCATTATTGAGTATTCAAAACCACGAGCAACCATTGAAGTTGAACTTATACGATTACCAATTCAGCGACAAAATCCTTCTCAATATAAAAGTGTATCACATCTAAAAGATTTTGTTGTCTCAAATGATCGAGATAGAAATGATCCAAGTTCATTATTATGGAGAATCTAATTTAAATTATTTCACAATAAACAAGCTATATAATGTTTTATTATTAATAACTTTGAGAAATAGTACGCTGTAAAAATTAAATTGGATCACCAGTTAGTAGAATCGTCTCAGTAGGTAAAATGAATCCATTTAGATAGGTCACTTAGTAAGTTACTGGCCTACTTTATTTTTTACAGTGACAGTATTAATAAATAAATGAAAGAGTTTGTATAGAACTATTACAAAATACATTTGAAAATTTTTAACTAAATCTTAATTTATTTTGTTATTTCGAGCTTTTGACATCATCAGGATCACGTGTCATCATCAGGATGATAGGCTTTTCTATTCAATTTTTCATTTACTTGCTGATAATGATACGAGTAAGTATCGAAAGCTTGAAATAACAAAATAAATTAAGATTTAGTTAAAAAACTTCAAATATATTATAGCAGTTCTATATAAACTCTTTCATTTATGTTTTATTAGTGTTTTATTAGAATAAAATTATGTTGATATATTTCTATAATAAAGAGCCTTAGCGAACTCTAACAGGTCTCATCTTTTTAAGCACACTTTTTATCACAAAATAAGACAATCGCGAGCTTCGAATATCCTTCTGTTCGAAAGTTATAAAACCAGGAAAATAGTATAAAAAGTGTCGAAATCACATTTTTGCTCGTATTAAGTGGAATGATCGTTTCTTATTTCCCGCACTTTTCATCAGTAGTCAAACTGTAAGGAATCAAAAAACGCCCACCATTCAAATTTTAGAGGTCATGTTTAATATTTTCATATTCTATATGATACTTATAAATAATGATCTAAACGGTAATAAAATAACATTATTTCAAATTACACCCGGTATACCCATTGTTACTCGACAACTTTATTCTAAATTAAAATTACCTAGAATCATCGTCTGTAAACCATTTGATCAAAACTGTTCACGATTAATTCATCAATTACTTGAATGTGAAAATATTATAATGAATGATCCCGGTTTTAGTTCACAACAGTATGTACATAACATTAATATACATAGACAAATGATAACGGAAATGGAAAGATGTTTTGATGATGAAATAAATCCAAATCCATTGAGTACTGAAAAAAAATTTGATTTTTCACCGCTTTAGAGTTACAACTGTTGCCCGTATATTCTAATGAATTTTGAATTTTTACAAAAATTACATGTCAGCATTCAAGAGTATCGGGACTTATTTCAAGGTCATCGCAGACAGAGACCTGAATAGGAAGTGAACTTTTGAGGAGTGGGGAGGTGTAAACAATTTTCTATGGTTCGCGCATTTTTTTTGGGTGTGTGTGTAAGAAAAAAGTCTTTTTAATTTCGCTGGGAGAAAACGAAAAACTTTTATTTTCGGGACAACACAGAAAACTTCTGAAAACGGGAGAATATTCTCTTGGTAGTGTAGATTGATAGTTGTACGTTCTTTTTCCGAATAAAAGTTCAGATTAGGCGTCATAGAGCTCGATAAGTAGAAGAAAAATGTGTTTTGGACTTGGAAACATTTTCTATATTTATAAGAGTTGATTGTCCAGCGTCACTTGTTCTTTCTGTTCTTCAAGTCTATATGATTAATATTAAACATGAGTCATTATTATTTCTAATGTCTACGTGCACTGAGGTGGAAACTAGTTATGAAGTAATAGAGAATGCAGTGTCTGTCGACATCACAACTTGTATGTAGCGCATGCAATTGCAATCTACTTTTAATATTTAATTTCAACATCAAAGTAACTTGAAATCGAATTATATTGAACTGTTGCTGTGGAAGCAATCAAATTGATCTGTAACTAACTTGATGGTAGAAAATCCTATTTTTATCTTTGTTTAAACATCTATTTTTCTAAAATAAAACTCTTCTCTTCGTTTTCAAAAAGAGAAATGACAAAATAAAGTTAACTTTAAATATACTTAAGTTAACTAGTGAAAGGTAGTTAAACGTCTCGTAAACAATGTTCACAGAGGGTGAGGGGGGATATATCTTATAAGCTTAAAACAAATTTTTTCATATCTGTGCATTTCAAATTACACTTTAGTTTTTGAAGAATTTGACATGATGGAGATGTAAATATAGTTTAATATGTTTAATTTAAACATTATGGTTATTATTATAAATTTTCTTTACAAAAGTAAATTAAAAATATTAGTCAATATATTTCGCAGCTTTATTTATACAAATAAAAGTCTATTGAAATATGTTTAATTTGCATACATAATACAACTTACTATAAGTTAACGTTTTTTTTACTTAGTTCCAAAAGTACCTATAACAAACAATATTTATGGAAGATATGATTTTTTCTTAAAAAGAAAAAGAATCTCACAGAGTATGACTTTCATGCCAACACTATAAATGAATGTTTTTCAGTTACACTTGAAAAATAGTATTAATGACAATACTCAAAAATGATTTGCTAAATTCTTAATGTTCATTCAAGTGTTGTTGTTTTCGTTGTTTCATAATATATTCACTCATCTACCTTTTTTTTTCAAAAACGAATAACAATTTCTTTCACCTGAAAAAATAGTTTATTATTTAACTTCTAAAGTGCTCATCATTTTCATTCAGTATTTCTATGTGTGATACACGTAGTGGTGCATTTGTTTTCTTTTTTCTTCGCATATAACACAGACAGTGTACAGAAGGAAAGGGAAAACGATCTGTATATATAGCCGACAGCGTGAGCATCAATTGATGCTCATGAGCAATGAAGAGGTTAATGTTTTAATGCTGAAAACATCTATGAAACATTTAGTCACACGTAGTACATATTTTCTATTCATAGCGTAGGAAAGAAGGAGAGCAAAGAATCATTTTTTTTGTGCTAATGAAGAATCGAGAAGAAAAAATAAAAATAGAAATTGAAAATGAACTTGATAAAAACCAATTAGTGATATTCAAACACTTGTCGTTCTCGTTAGAGGTTTGTTAATTACGATAGAAGAACAACACAATAAAAATGGCGGTAATTACAAGAAAATTAGAAGTAGATAGAATATGAGTTTAAAAACATAGTTCACAAATTTTTATAAAGGTAATGATGAATATAGATAGCAAGCTTATTACCTAAACGCTCTTTCACTTTATGCACGATTTACTTGGAATTTTGATAATTCATAACCGCATTTTAAATTCACTGATTTCTTAACAGATGATCTAGTTTGGTTGATTTATACAGATGGATCCTTAGCTTTCGAAATAAAAATCCACTAGAGGATGTCCAGTCAATCTGATCAGGCCACTGGTCAGATACCTATAAGTAAAAAACTCCTTGCCTGTTTTCCTGATCAGGACTTGTTTTTCTCCTGATCAGTGAAAGAAATCAAGACCGCGAGCTTGTTGTATATATGTAAAAATTAGGTGTGCTCGCTCATACTGCTCAAAAGTCAGTAGCAACCCATAAAGTTTTCTGGAGATCTTCCAATGTAACCATCAGACACGGAATGTCGTTAGATATCTCTTCTTCAGTACAGAAATTTCCAATACATTACTCATCACCTATAAGAATAACTTTGAAATTTTTCGAACTAGTGTTTACTATACAGGGTGACTCATAAAAAACTTACCTCTTTTTGTAATGGTCTTTCTATAGCCTTAACATTCAATTTTTGATCCGATTCTTTTTGCGATAGAAAGAGCTGAAAAAGCTGCTCAGTAGAACTGGTTATATTTTTGAAAAGATTCTACCATAAGTAGATGCTAAAAAAGATTTATTAAATATGAAATCTATGCTGGAACGGCACATTTTCACCAGGAAGTAAAAAAGGAGCCGTAAGACAACGCTGTTGGCTTGAAGTTTGTTGGGATTTTCGAGTTCCCAATATTTTATTAATGAAGAAAAGAACACGGCGTAATTTCTTGGTTATCTTTTAAAGATTGTTTTTCATACGATCTTCTAAGCTTACAAGGGAACCTTTCCAGGTGTTCAGCCGCTTTTCTAACGAAATGCGGTAGTAGTTTATAGGTAATCGACCATGTTGATTCCAAATATAATAGCCGTTTTTGCACATAGACCTTTCCTAACCGGTTTCTGGAAAACTGGTTTTCCAGAACCGGCGAAAAATCTCCAAGAGTTTTTCTAAATAAGGCACAACTGTAGCCCACGAAATTTTGATTAAGATGAGACATCTCCCAGCTCTACACGATCTTTCTTTGCAAAGTTATAGAATTTACAAGAAAAGCGCTAAATTCACCTTTCCTTCTTTCTGTAGCTCTGTGACAATAAACATTTAGGGCTTTTCTTGCAAATTCTATAACTTTGCAAAGAAAGGTCGTGTAGAGCTGGGAGATGTCTCATCTTAATCAGAATTTCGCGGGCTACAGTTGTGCTTTATTCAGAAAAACTCTTGGGGATTTTTCGCGGGTTCTGGAAAAACAGTTTTCCAGAAACCGGTTAGGAAAGGCCTATGGGCAAAAACGGCTATTATATTCGGAATCAGCCTGGTTGATTACCTATAAACTACCGCATTTCGTTAGAAAAGCGGTTGGACACCTGGAAAGATTCCCTCGTTAGTGCTAATTGCTGTTATATGCCTCTTCATTATATAATACTTTACCTTATTTCTTATTAAGAAAGCAAATTTTATCAATCATTTAGGCATATTTTTGTAGCCATTTAAACAGAGATCTACGGAACTGTCCCGGTCCTGATCCCATCCCGCTCCCGCGAGACTTTTTACGGGACCGGGAGGTAGAGATCCACGGGACGATCTCGGTCCTGCAGACCTTTAATGCGATCGGGACACCAGTTCTGCGAGAAAGAACTCATAGAAAATTCTAAAAGTCTTTAGTTAATACCACCCACGCATGCTGTTCCATGAGCCACATTACAACGCGCTGACTTTCAAACTATCAGCGCTACTTTGAAAAAATATTTACGGGACCACGGGACCGGGACCGGAACCAAACTTTTTTCTTCACGGGACCAGGATCAAAAAGGTTTGGTTCCACAGGCCTCTACATTTAAAAGCTCTATCTACTGAATATAATCGATCGTGATTAAAGTTAATTCAAGTGATAAAATAGTGAAATTCATATCACACGCCTCTTTATGCAAAATATGGAATACTGTTGTTGTACGAACATTTCTATAATGTTATCAATAATTGCAAATGATTTATATGTTACTTAAGCTGTAAACACTTAGAAGTACGTTCTGAAAATTTACAGTCAAAATAGTGTTTCGTCGTTGAGTTATTGAATTTTTATAGAAAAGTTGAAAAACAGCAAAGTTCATTTTGATCCATCACAGATTTCGTATTTAATAAATCTTTTTTAGCATCTGCTTATGGTGGAATCATTTCGAAAATATAACCAGTTCTACCGAGCAGCTTTTTTCAACTCTTTCTATCGCAAAAAGAATCGGATCAAAAAATGAATGTTAAGGCTATAGAAAGACCATTACAAAAAGGGATAAGTTTTTGTGGGCCACCCTGTATACTACGTGATTTAGTTGGTCTTGAACCTGACCAGTGTCTGTTTCTCAGAAAATCCCAAGAGCAAACAAGGAAAGTCAAAACCAGACTAAGATTTACTGTTTGTCTTATCAGTAGAAAAAACACTCCTGATCTGGTCTTTTCACTTTCTTGTTCTGACCTTGGAGCTGACCAGAACACGATAAGAAAAACAAGAAACATACACCTGTAAGTAAATAAGTTTTCACTCTGTATTTAAGACCAGACAAATTGGACATTCTCTACGATCATTACATATACTTTAGGATGGTATATAGATTTAATCTTTTTAAGAAACAAAGAACATGGTCTACTTTCTTGTAGAAAAGCATCCAGAATGTGTGACTTGTAAAGAGTATCATTTTTCGAAGAATTAACATGAATAACAAAGTATTTTTTTATTCTTTCTACTAAAATGATTGATGATTAACAGCAGTGATGATGAATACCGTGTTCAATGTACATAGTATTGCAACACTAAACCACGTTGCTTTCATTCAAAACATCTAAACGTTTTGCATTATCTTATCATTTTTGTCTTGGAATCAAATTTAATCGCCTTTTGTTTTTGTTTGTCTCATTGTAATATTGAAAAATCACTTATAACCTATACGGTTAAATATCGAGCATATCATTTTTACTGTTTACGAGCGAATCTCAATCTCTCGTTTTCTCATGCATGCAAAAATGATCCTTTTTTTCGAATGCAAATTATTACTTTACTTCAGATCTTGTTTACCTTCATTTTGTAGATAACTATTTTTACATAAAAATATATTTTTGTGCCTAATTCATTATTCCATCACCCTCTATTTTGACATATCTACATAAGTAAAGGAAATTTCGGTTATAACCGTCAATCAATGCCATCAAAAAATAATTTTCTGTTAAATAAAAACGGGATATTTCTATATTCTTCGTCATGAACAAACTTCCTTTCTCTAAAAAACAACTCTTACTCGATAAAACCAGCTTATAACTGCTAAAACATAATAGTTCTGCTTGATCTCAAACGCCGTATACAATTGAAAACAGTCAAAGTCACTTGGTCATGCTGGACTGTTCAATACACTAAACGAATTCAACATGTCAATAGGCTCATAATATACACCAGTTCGTTTTAACAATTCATCTATACTCACAATATTAATAATAATAGTAATAGTAATAGTAATAACATTGGAATCTATACTTTTCAATAAATACAGAGAATCCAACATTTTTTTTTAATTATTAGGATTTTTTCTTTGCAATAGTAAAAATAAATAAATAATAATGTGTGTGTGTGTGTGTGTGTGTGTGTGTGTGTGTGTGCTGCTTATTTTCTTTTTTTATTTAGCCGAATACTATAATTTAGCGTAATATCAACAATAAGGAGTTAGAACTGATTTTCACATTATTCTTCATAATAATGGCTACTAGTTGGCGTACCTACTATTTCATATACAAAATGCCGACACATTACGATAATGCCTATTATTCGGTAGGATTCTTTTTAAAATCTATTTTTATTCTTTCTCTCTCTCTAACACACACACACACAGTAATGTTAACCTTTTCCACAATCCTTCTTTTCACTGTCTAATCTTAGACAACAGGTTACAAAATAAACAAAATAATGCTAAGAAAGTGTTTCTAAGTCAATGAACAGTGAGTATAGCGGTGAATATTAATGTATAATTTTTTCAATGACGAGCAGGGAGAATGCAGAGGTGCGTTTTGTAAGATGTTGTACGTCATTCTCTTGAGAATCTTTTTAAAACTTGAAAAAATGAATAATTTAATAATTTATAACACTTGTCCTAAATCATTAATTGTTTTTATTTTATTTTCTATCGTATTTTTTATGATGATACTATAGTAGACCTCGTAAACTATTTTTTGTATTTTTTATCAACATGATCATATAGTAAAAAAAACAGACCACGAAAGAAACCACTTATAGGTACCCAGGTTATACTTTCTTATCATCATCGTTTTATTTTTTTTTTCGAATAGAAATACTCTGTATGCAAAACAGAAAGAGAGAAAGAGAGAGAGAGATCTTATAAAAGTAATGTGTGTATAATAAATAAAATCTGTCAATAAACAATTATTTTCTTTAAAAAGCAACAGCAACTGCTAATATAATAAAAATTCTATTTTTATTTCAATAAATAGAATAGGTTTTTTATGAGATAGAGCTTATCAGTTATGATGGACAACGTTTATTCACTATCATCTCGCTCCATGTTAAACATAGGACCATTAACTACTACAGTAAGTAATGGTAGAAAAAAAGTGAAAAATGATACTTCTTCCTCTCTATTCTAACAAAAACTGAATAACAAGGTATATAGCGTCAGAAAATAATTTGTGTATATGACCTTTTGGGAATCTGCTTTGTACGCTATTTTGAAGGAAGAAGAGAATTAAACTAAAAAAAGCTGATTTTTTACCAATCTCTTGTTTTATCCATCTCTCACTTTCAAGTCAAGTACGTAAAATTGTATAGTTAGATGGTTGTAAATTGCTAAAAACGGTTCTCTGTCTAGATGAGTAATCATAATTTTTGACGAAAATATACTTTGTTAGTTTAGTTCGAAACATTTCAGTAATTCTACGTTTAAGTCTGATATTTTAATTTGAATCAACGTAGCTATACTTTTTTCTTTTACACAGCGACCACATTATTTCTATGATCCAAAATATACATTTTTGGAATCAAAATCATCTATTTATAATAGTACAGGAATAAGTACATCCACCAATCGTGAACGAACGTCATCGACAACTCGAACATCTACCACTCCTTTATCACGACCTTCTTCTTCTTTCAAAACACCTTTATCCAGTACTCGTTCATCATTAGACATCATGACTATTCCGTCAACATCATCCTCGTTCAATCGTTGTGATGATTGTTCAAAAAATGACGGACTATTTCAATGTTGTCATTGTAACCAAAGACTATGTATTCGATGTTGTAATAAACATTATAAATCGATGACAATTGAATTAGATCGCTTACAGGATATGTCCGAACGTTTAATACAAAAAATATATCACACAAAAAACGATTTAGAACGACAAAAAAATGAGACAATTGAACAATGTCATAAATGGAAATGTGATACTATTAATACGGTAAATAAAGCACACACATTGATTATTCAAACTATCCATAATGAATATGAATTATTGGGGAAAGAATACGAGACATACATTCAAAATGAGATGAAATTAATAAAAATGAACAAATATGAATTGAATCGAATGAGAAAAGGTGATCTAAGTTTAATATCGAATGATAATAACGATAACAATGATGATAATGAAATAAATTCAAATTCAATCGAAATAATTCGAAATCGAATTGAAACATTAGCGAAACATATTGATGAAACTGGAAAACTTCATTTTGAAGTGAAATTACCAGTGTTTGATATTGATGATACACTAAGAGTTGAATCATCCTTTGGTGATAGTACACGAACAACAAGTGCAACATGGAATAACGGTGGTGAAGACGATACAATAAGAAATCAACAAATAACATCATTTCCTGAACAAACCACAGCGGATGTAACAAACAACGTAAATGAATAAAATGTTTGATGCGGCTCTATAGAATCGTGTCTATTTTGATTATTTTAGGAAACTGATACAACATCACAAGTTCCATCAACAAGATATGCTTTATCAGTTGAAAATGATATTGAACTTCAACAACAACAATATTATAAACCAACATCACAATCGTCTCCTCGTGCTGAACGTTACGATTCTGCTTATGTTACTGAGCCACCGTCACCCATTTCACCTACAAATGATAAACTATCGTACTCTTCTTCATTCTTAAATGATACAAACAATAATTTACAAGAGACATCTGATTTTGATTTAACAGTAAAAATGTCTAATCCTTTAAAACAATCGAATACGATAAATGATAATATTTTTCATAATCGTCGGCATACATACACATACAATAATACATCGACTAACTATCAACAGGAACAGCAACAATCAAATAATAATGATAATGATGATACATATCATTGTATTCAACATGTTCAATTGAAACATGATAATTCGGGTATTGTCGAAGGTGTAGCCCTTCAAGCCGAACAAAGTACATCAACAACAAATGATGGAAATATTGAACGAAAACGAACGATGCTTCAAGCATCTGGCTTTCGTAGACGAACAACAATGTTTCCATCAACGTCATCAAATTTCTCACCATACACAACATCATCATCACAACCACCATCTTGGTTGTATTATCGTACAACATCTACACCATCATTTATTCATTGATTCAATAGATTGAAGCTATTATCATTTATTTTTATTGTTAAACGTAAGAATCTTATGATTTTGTTAGGCCATCCATGTCTTTTGTTTTAACAATAGAAAAACCTAAACACATTCATTCACAAATTGAGCAGAAATTGTATAGACTAGATAAGTTGGACATAATGACTGCACAAAAGAGAAAAGAACATTGATGCATTTTCCATACATCAATTAACATTGCTGTTTAATATTATTTTATTTCATACTTAACTCGTAAACTGACAATATGAAGATATGTACAGAAAAAATGTTTCATCTATCTCTTCTTCTTTAAACTTAATTTATATACATTAATATTACATTTTTGAGTTTTAGATGATTGACTGAGATAAATAGTAGGAAGATTTTCGATTGTTAATAGTACACCTGTGAAAAAACATAGAAGATTAGTTTTATATTTTTCTGTCTTTTTGTTCGACTGTTTTAGAATAGATAAAGTTTTGAATAAATAAATTGTTTTAGGTAGCATAATTAGTGGTAAATGATGTGAAGTAAAATATTGTCTTATATTCAAAACATACAATACAAGTTTCTTAAATCATAAAAGAATTTTAGAGATTTCGGAATATTGTTAAAGAGAACAATAAGACATAAGAAATCCTTAAAGTTAGTGTACGTGCTCAAATTTGTACTTATTTTACTGACTGTTTATGTATAAATGAATCATATTTGAGAGAAAAACTATTCCGTGATATAGAGGAATAAGAAACAAAAATGGTTAAATGATGAAATAAATAAATATTCATATTTTGAACTAAATTTATGTAGTTAGCTCTTAATAGTAGAGAAAGTCACGACCATATTTAAAACGACGGTGTTTTGGACGACTTTTCACCACTGGTATCAGTACCTTAAGTCTGTGATGGTTTAAAATCTTTCTTGATGAAAGAATATGAATGATAAGTGACATTTTAGTTAAAAAGCGTTGTACAAAACCAAATCTCAAACGATTATTGAATTATATTTATCTTCAAATAAACAATTGAGCTGTTAGTGTCTAAAAACACGTCCCATTTGAATGCTCTTAAACTTATCAGAAATATCTCTCAACATACAAATGTTGTCCTTGATAGTTGTTTTTGTAGAGATAGTAGATTTTTATGTGAATTTGATGGTTTCGTAGTTTATTTTTCTTAACTAAATTGTCTTGTAAAAACGTCTCAATAAATACAATCATCTTATTATGTTAAAAAAAGTCACCTCTTAATTTCTCTATTGTAAATTCTCACCTGAAACTCATCTATCAGTAATGATGTATGAATAGTAATTAGCATACGATTAATACATGTTAATGATCAGCAATAGAGATGTAAATATTTTGTTAATGATAATGGGTGGTATAGTGGATTGATATGTCGCTATACGAGGGACAATATACAGAAAATCAATTTTGATACACGAATAAAGAAAGAAAAGCTATAATACCGATCACAATCGCGATGAGTCCCTCTCTCTCCTGTATCATCTATATTATTTATTATCGACTCGTTTCATCCATGACATATACAAACAAGAACGTTGCTGTGTAATTGATTCTAAACATGTTATTGTCTATAATCATACATTATGATATCACTGATATTATCTTGAATTCAGCGATAATTAACTGAAAATGTAACTGCTGTAAATCGTGTCAATTCAAATGAAACACAATGATATTTTGAAGACGAAGTTTCCTTTGTAGTTGATCCTTGATCGAAATCATTCATTCGAAAAACCTTCGTAGGAAAAATAAAGAAAAATCGATTATGACTGTTTTTAGTTTGATTGATAGCGTGAAAAATGATAATGCATATTACTGAATGGGAAAAAGAAAAATAGATTTTTTAGCACCATTTTTTCAATAAAACAAATTTTGAAACTTAAATTTGTTTTTCGAAATGAATCGTGTGTGAGCAATGTTATTTTTAATTATAATCAGATAAAAATTCCTTGGACATACGGACGAGAAATGGCTCAGATAAATACTAATTCTAGTATATTTTGTTGTCTTCAATTGCCATGTGATGATTCGACTGTTCCTTTTTATTAGCATAAGTTCACAAAAAATCGAATAGCTACATCTTCCTAGTCAAGTTTCATTTACATAAGTTGTACAATTTTGTCACAGTTACAATAAGTTCGCGCATTCTAAACATTATATTTATATAATTTATCACTATAAATTATCACACTAATGTAAATAATTATCGTCATACACACAAATGGGTCAAGAGGCAAGTACCGATAAATTAGAAAGTAATGATATTCTTCGTATGATGAAAAAATTTGGTAAACTAGATGCTGATAAATCCGGAGCTTTAAGTGCCGAAGAATTTATGAGTATTAATGAATTAAAATCAAATCCACTGGTTGAACGTGTTATTGATGTATTTGATATAGATGGCAATGGTAAGTAGATATTTTTTTTCTTAATTTAGTGAAAAATTGGACCGACTTTCAATTAAAAGGAGAAGTGGACTTTAATGAATTTATAACGGGTATGCATTCTTTTGCGTCGAGAGGTGAAACAAATCAAAAACTAAAGTTTGCTTTTAATATCTATGATATTGATAAAGATGGATATATTACAAACGGTAAGATAGAGGCAAAATTATTACTAAACGCATTGTCAAATGGTTTCTATGCTGTTTTTACTAGCTGAATTATTTACTGTGTTAAAAATGATGGTTGGAGGTAATTTGCAAGATGAACAATTACAACAAGTAATGACCTTAGAAGTTTATTACAATAAAAGAAAAGAAAATTTGAAAATTTTGTTTTTAAAGCTCGTTTCGAGTTTATGAAAATTATGAATTGCTCGCTTCGACTACTAACCGACCGACTCAGCAATATCTTGTAATTCAACAACGGCTTTCAAAATCTATAGAAAATACTTAATTCTTGAAAAAAATTTCTAAGAATCATTCTAGATGAGAAAATGATTTTTACTACTGTCGTTTTTAATACGGAATCAAATTACGCAGGTAAAATAACGTTTATCTTGATGCTCTGAAGTAGTCTTCTCCGTTCAAAGGTGGTGGATAAAACAATAATCTATAGTGATAAAGATAATGATAAAAGAATATCATTTAAAGAATTTTGTGACGCAATTGGACCATCATTGCGAGAAGATATTGTGAACGAATTAAATAAAATAACAACTGATGACTAAAAAGAATAATGACTTAACATCAGAAGGGACATTAATGAACTTGAAATTCATATATAGTGTTTGTTTTTGTCTTTTAAACATGAGAACTATTTGTTCTACCACCTGTGTCTGTAATAGTCGTGAAGAAAATAATAAAGGTCTGAAATAGCAAACGTTGACCGGCATAGCTTTTCATCTGAGAAGTAGCTCGTCAATAATACTATATTAACTGGACTATGGTTCATCCACTTTTTACCTTTGGTTTTCTGTTATATTACTGTTCAATGAACTCGTTTAGCGTAAAAACCAGTCATTTTAAAAACTGTCCTTGAATTTTCAGTTACTTCAATGCCCTCATAACGTAGATCGAGTTCGATGTTGAGTTGACAGCATTCGATTGTTTGGTTGAAACGATTATAGCAATTTAAGTTTTCACCTATTTTTAAGCAATGTAAAATCAAGTATTCAGAGAGCTAATTTTGTTAAAGAAATTTCTTTTACCAAATTTATTGAGAAAAACTTCGTCTTAATCGTAATATATGAACTCTGCCACATCATCCTGTAGATGACGCAATAGTATTCTTTCTTTTGATTGGACAATGTTTCTGCCAGTATCTTTTCCTCGTTGGTTTATACTATGCCAGCTTAGCTATGAAAGAACAATATGACAATGCTATAATAAAATAAAATACAATAATACTACAGTAATTCAAAAGTAAATAACTCATCGCCTAAGTAAGATATTTTTTTTATACGAATAAGTGGGCGTATATGATTTGAAATTTACGTGTGTGGAGGCAAAGACTTATTCAAAAAACGTGCAGTTAATCTAAAAGATATGCTGACCCATAGATATATACTCCTCGAAGATAGGAAAAGATCATGATAGTAATGATATGCTACAAATATGTATGTAGTTTTGTTAAACTGTTAGTTCGATCTAATAATTATCATGTAGATAATACTCGTTATGTTAATATGATTGTTACCATTTGATGTTTTTGGTAAACTGCTTTTTTAATGCATATACTCCCCCAATGCTAAGGGAACACCTTTATTTTGTGCTATCTTTAGTCGTGTCCATACTTTTTCTTCTGGTATTCATAAAATAGATGCCCTGCACATAAGAACTCTTCTCACTATCGATGGCCATTATGATGTGTTTTTCATGTTTTAAATGGGATATCAGTACATCTTGTTTGCTGTTATTGATAGTATTTATTTCTAAGGTTTTGAAGTTAAGCTTTTGTTTTTATTGTTGAATAAATGATTATATATGGTTTGACCTATTATGGTTCTTGTTCAGAACATGTGACAAATAAATGAGTTTTTGTTAATCTCAGTGAGTAGTATAATTATAATGTTAGATGATGCTTGAATACGTCTATGAGCTATATTAAACCATAAATGGTATGAGTGCATTCATATAGATTTCTTTTTTCGAATGCATGCACTGCGCACTACGCCTCATCTGAACGATTTTTTTAAACTAAGACTCTTACTTTCCAGATGATAGACTGGAAAATAAAATTTGAATGACCCCTGTCGAACTGGTCTTGAAGGTTCGACGTCACACACTGGACTATGAATATTGGGTCTATACGGAGCTCTGTTATCTAATGATGTTTTGCATTTGTAATACTATCTATTCTTTAGCGATTTTTTAATTTCTGTAGTAGTGATGTTTTTTTATCAATGAATGTCTTTCTTTTTTTACTCGGTTTCAAATATCTAATTGTTCTTTGAGCTGATTTAGAAGCTTTTACAATACACGATGCTATAAATTCCTTTTATTTATCTGAATCATCATTTCTTTTCGCTTCTTTTGTTTTTATCCTATTCTAATGGTCAGATGCATAGTGGGCGTAATTTCTGCGCATCAGGCGCACAAGAATACGAAGTATATTCGGTAACCTTAGCAATGAAGTTTTTCCACGTTTTCAAACACGTTCTGTCGAATGGCCGACTCAGAATTTTTTTCTGGCAAATAGTGCTTTTTTTCAAATTTAGGCCTTGAGAAAGGATCTCGAGCGAAATTTTTTTAAACCCACCTCGTTGTTTAGAAATGTATTGTCTGATACATGGATCGATGCAGCTTTTTGCGCTGATTCCGAATAACACCTCAGTTTTTAATACAAGTGCACGCAGACAGAAAAAATCGGATTTTATCTGAAAACCAAGGTTTTTGAAAAATTTACCCTATGGCTTAGAAAAAGAACTGCATAAAGCTCCATGCACCATAGATGCAGGATACAAGAGGAACATTTTGGTGTGGTTTTAAAAGTAGGAGTAAAAATAAAGTTGCAGAAACTCATTACACTAATGACACCTATACGGAAAATCACCTAATTGAAAAACTTGATTTTTTTCTATCAGAAATATAGGTCCAAAAGAAAAGATATTTTCACTAAAAGATAGATGGAACTGTTTGGATTTAAAATACGATTCTTTTTTGCCTTTAAACCTCTTGGATTTTATAGAAAACTGAATTTTTTCCACAGACGAGTGTTTTTCAGCTAATTTTTGACTATGAGTTTTTCGACGGACCAAGAGACTTGGATATAAAAAATTTTGTGACATTAAATAGCATAGATTAAAGTTTATTTACTCGTGTTCAAATCAGAAAAAAAGCCACTTTTGGCCAAATGTCCCGATCATTGCCCACTGTGGGATATTTAGATGTTACCTAGCGCATGCGCCTAAGAAGAATTCTGAATCCGCCACTGCATTGTTCGTAAAATGGCAAGAATACAATCTATTTGTTTAACCTAGTCTTTGTATTAATGAGAACACCACTACACCCCACCCCTGTACTTTTCCTTACTTCAGTAGTGGTTTTGTAATGTCTGGAATCAAGCAGCAGACGTGTTTCTATTATTGTCCGACACATTTCGAAGGCCGTGTTTCTATTTTTACAGACTATCACTACGGTTACACTACCCAAATAATCACGATTATCTTTAATCCTGATTAAAAGGTAATCGCGATTAAACATTTTCTAGTGTAACCGCAATTTTTTGGGATCGTGATTAACGATATTTAATCACGATGAACAGAATTGTGTGTAACCGCACTACACGATTAAAAAGATAATTGAGATTTAACTCGTGATAGCCATAATTATAAATAATCAGTGTGCAGGAGAAAACTCATTTTTGTGTTGGCAGAGTTAACATGAATACAGTAACACTCTTTGATCTGATCAATAGATCTGTTGACACCGGCTACTAATAAACCTTCTTGTATTTTTTTTCGGGTGCAACAGTTCCGATGATTTGCTATTTCATTTGATATCATTTTATCTTTTAACAAATTTAGCAGCAAGTTTGTTTCGTCCTCAGACCACAGATCTTTTGCCTTCGTTTTATTCTTCTAACTCTGCGTAGTCATTTTTAACAACAAAAAGTTATTATTATTATAAAATTATTATTAATTATTTATCGATCTGTAACAGAGTATAGTAATGGGAAAACTGTTTTTTGTGCACGGTTTTTTCCGGAATTGTGCACGATTTGCTGTTTTCCGTGCACTAAAATATCTTTTGACATTTTTGTGCACGGTTACAGAAAGGTGCACGGCAAAAAGACAGAAATGTGCACGGAGACGTTTTTGTGCACAGTTTTTCAAGGCGTAAAAGATATTTTGTCGTTTTTTCATCCTAAACAAATAGGATGATCTATGAACAGACGTCTCGTTTAATACGAACGAGACTTATTGACTGAAATGTTCGATAAATCTTAAAAATTGGTGTAGAGTGAATTTAAGAATTATTGTGTGATCATGTAAACAAAACCTTAAACTATATGTTTGTAAACATGCAGTAGGATTTATGATTCACCTTAATCTTTATGTTATAGCTGATCCAGCTAAATTACAAGTGTTAGGAAAACGGCGTGGACGTCCAAAAAAGGCAGGAAAAGCATTAAGTCGATCATAAATTTGGTGAAAATACTAAAAGAGGATTTCTATTTGTAAATAGTTACATGCTATATTTTTTTGGATAAACAAAATTTAATAATCAAACAACAGGGTATAGCTCGTTCTTCAAAAAGCGTGCACAGAAACGTATCAGTGCACATTTCTGTCTTTTTCCCGTGCACCTTTCTGTAACCGTGCACAAAAATGTCAAAAGATGTTTTAGTGCACGGAAAACAGCAAACGGTGCATAATTCTGGAAAAAACCGTGCACAGAAAAATCCTCGTCCTATAGTAATGCCAGAAAAATTCTTTAGTATGCAAAACAGAGTTCAGGCTGATTAGTTATTGCAGTTGAGCAGTCATATGCAAGCGCCGCTATCATGATCCTTTTTTTGATAGAGATGGTTAAAGTTACTCACGATTAAATTTAATCGCGATTAAAGATAATCATCTTCCGAACATGATTATCTCTAAACATGATTTTCAAAATAATCGTGAGTAAAGTAGCGGTTATACTATTAGTTTAATCACGCTTAACAATCACGATTAAAGATAATCGTGATTGTCTGTGTAGTGTAACCTTAGTGTATCGCACTAGTATGATGAGTAAATTTCTCACCTTTAAAAAATATAGGCTTTTTCATTAGATATGTGTAAAGATATCCATGAATGGACAAAATGACTATTTATTAATATACAATGGATAATTACATCACGAATAGTGGAACAAACGAAACGAATCGTTAGCACAGTCTACTAGAAATACTTTTTTATCCCTCTGAGCCACTTTTAAATATCTCCACCACATATAATATATGTGTATTAGAAAATCCTTTGTAGTGTATTGTAGTCTAGTGGTGTTTTTTCTCTTGCTTTGCGTTCATATAATGTTATTTGATCTGCAGCGAACTTTTAAAGAGGAAGACTTTTAGTTGTCGATATTTTGCGCTTTTTAAAGCTGGATAATGCTATCAATGCTATCAAGATTAATTTGTTAGAATAATCAAGTTAACACTTAATATCTCGAAAGTTTATCTCTAACCTCTTTTACGACTACAGCGATGGCTACCGTTATAATATATTTGGTTAATAGTTCGATTTATGATATACCTGATGCTGAACGATGATAAAGAGCTGCATTTTGTTGATCATCACGCGATGTTTGTTGATGTTGTCGGATACTAAACGGTAATTATGATTCAGCTGTTTTCTTTAATTTTACCTACAGTCCTTTATGTTTTGCATATTCTCTAATAAGACTGAGTGATTATCGTATTTGTAATCAATTTTTCTGTCATAATTCTCTACTTTATGAACTTCTTTACATCTTGCACACGTTTGATTCGGTTTCGCGTTAAAATAAGAGATTTAACATTTCGAGCATACTGCGTCTGTTATTGAGTTGCTAAATCACGATGTTCGATTTTTGATCTCAGTTGGATGAATGTAATTCCTTTTTCCTGATCCTTAAACAATATCTTACATATTGTTCCTGAATCTATTAAATCTTTGTTTTGTAAATGTTCAATTTTTTCACAAGAATAACCAACTATCGCTCGCTTGTGAATCTCTGATCTCTTCTACGTCTACTCCTCTAACGGGTGTCTCTTTATCCGTATCAAGACTTTTCTGAATCGATCGTGTTATTTGATGAAATAATAATTATGTTTTATCAGGAAATATAATAAACTCGTTGATGAATAAAATTTCCTCTAATGTTTTATAAAATTTTTTCTCAATCCAAGAGAAATATTTTATCACAGCTTTTATTCTCTAGATAATGATTGGAATAAAGTTTACGTTATTATGCTGTTTGAGTATCATTTTCTCTGTGTATGCACCGCCTGTAAATAAAAGTCCATCGAATAACAAAGGTGATTCAGTTAACGATGAAAAAGAAGCGAAGGATATAGTAAGTATTAAATAGATATTATTGATAACGTATAACAAAAAATTCACTATTTTTTTCTTGTGTTAATTTAGTTAGATGATCTTGAATATGCACGTTATTTAAAAGAAGTAGTTGAAATATTAGAGAATGATCCAAAATTTAAGAGTATGATCGATAATGCCACAGTTGACGATATTAAAGTAAAAAAATCAAGTTTCTGTACAAAATAAAAGTTTGAACTATCTCACAATATCTCATTCTAGTCTGGAAATATTGCACAACATTTAAGTTTAGTGGAACACAATGTGCGAACGGCGTTGGATGAAGCAAAACAACGTGAAATAGTTAGATTACGAAAACTTGTTGCACAAAAAGTTCGTCTCCTTAATGGTAAGTTTTAATGGTATGTCATATATTTACCTGATCACAAAATCAAATTGAGACTTCATGAGAGACTTCTTTCTCAGAAACTATATTTCAGATGTACATCGACGAGGAGGACTTCGAGGTATGTTAATGACTATAGACATTGTCATTGTGATGTGTTTTTTTATTGTGCGTTAAACTTGGTTACAATATAATATAACTGCAATGATCTCACTGAATAACTATAGTGTAATGAATCAGTTGTTTATTGAACTAGTGCTTATGAATAACAGCTATAGTTGTTCTTTGTAAAAGATACAGCATATAAATGATGTTATGTAGCGTGAACTAAAACTGTTTTATTGTACATTTTCTTGTTTATCACAATTGAATCGATTTTTTTTAGGCACTCCAAATGATCATATGAAAAATATAGTACCACAACATATTGATCATCATAACTTGGAAACGTTTGGTGTACTCGATTTAGAAAAATTAATACGTCGAGCATCACTAGATCTAGATGAAATAGATAAACAACGGGAAAAAGAATTTAAAGATTATGAATTAAGAAAAGAATATGACAGACGTGAACAATTATCTGTATGTAACTAAAAGACTAACATACATCGATACACAAAGTTTCTTTTTCCTTTTAGCATCTCAGTCCAGAAGAACAACAAAAATTGGAACATCAATATCAAGAAACTTTGGAAAAAAAGAAAAAACATCCAAAAGTTAATCATCCGGTAAGATATTTGTTGAACACAAGACAGATGTCGAAATTTTCTCTTCATATAAATCTAAAATTTAATTTTAAATTTTTGAAAAATTAACAAATGTTTCGTTCTATCCATTCCATTGTAATCATTTTCTTTTTATCTATAGGGCAGTGTTGATCAAATGGAAGAAGTGTGGGAGAACGTTGATCATCTTGAACCTGAACAATTTAATCCAAAAACATTTTTCAGTTTACATGGTACGATTGATAGTTGTATAGAGAAAACAATGTGTAAAAATGTTTAATATTTTTGTTTAGATACGAATACCGATGGATTCTTAGACGAAAATGAAATAGAAGCAATTATGTTGAAGGAGGTAAGCTTAAAAAATGATTTTTATGGCAAATCTGATTTGAAAAAGTTGACATTTTTATTCTAGGCAGAAAAAATCCATAATAATGCAACTGAAGTTGATGCAGTTGAAAAACAAGAAGAATTAGATAGAATGAGAGAACATGTTATGAGAGAAGTATGATATATGTATAATTAACAATTCATTTTTGAGAAATAATGAATTTTTGATTGTATTATTTGCATCGATTTTATTAATCTTTTGTTTAGTTTGATAAAAATAATGATCGTATGCTTTCATATCAAGAATTTATGAGTGGTATCAATGGTACTGGAGCTAAAAATGAACAAGGGTGGGAGTCAATTGAAGATAAACCTGTTTATTCTGATCAAGAGTTTCAACAATTTTCTGACAAGATGGCACATCAATCAACGGTAAGTAATTCTTATTTTGATGAAAATATTTTTGATAATGTTGAGAATAATGGAATATGTTCTATTTTAGCCTTTACCTATGCATCAACAATCCCAGCAACATATTGAACGACAACAAGAACATCAAGCACAACAGAATCCTGTACCAAATAATATCCCATCACCAGTAAATAATCAAGGATATCCAGGACACCAACAGCAAGCACAACAGAATCCTGTACCAAATAATATCCCGTTATCAGTAAATAATCAAGGACAGCAACAGCAAGCACAACAGAATTCTGCACCAAATAATATCCCGTCACCAGTAAATAATCAAGGACATCCAGAACAACAACATCAAGCTATTCATACATAAATAACAAGAAACTTTTTTTCTTTTTCATCACAGATCTGTTGCTCTTGTTTTTTATATTCATTTCCGTTTTTTCGATCAAAAAACAGATTAGCTATTGTTCTAGTCTCAGAAAATTCTCTGCTTATTGAGATTTGCCATCGTTACGGATTGAAGGAAAAACGACAAGTATGCATTGTTTATTTCTTTATACTGACATTCTTATTTTTCATCTATTTATTTTTCTTGTTATTTTGATTCATAAAGCAATCGTTTTTTATATTAGTTTTCATTCTCGTTTTAATTGATCTAACAGGTAAAAATTATAAAAAAATTGTGAAAAAGAAGTCATAGTTTAATGATATGTAGTTTAATCTGAGATAATCCCTCCCTCACATTAGAAGCCCACCCGCATTAGAAGTCCAGTCTGGCAAGAAATTTTTTGAAAATTGCCCCTGTCCCCATAGGGTACTTTTTGAGAAAATTTTGCCTTTCTTGAGGGACATAATAGAAACCCACTGGGCTTCTAATGTGGACGGACGGAGGTTTAATCTAACAGCGTTTTATCATCATATTCTTTTATGTCTTCATTATTATCTGATACATATTTTAAATTTAGTTTTATTCTGGTTGGTTTATTAGACAAGAAATGTTCGATGTCGTCAAATTAGATTTGAGCAGAATGATGAATAATAGAGACAGGGGTGGTATGACACGGATACATATGAATAGAAAATGAAAAACGAACGAACATGTTTTTCGAGAACAAAACAAGAAACAAAAGTTAGATTAGCCTTTTCGTATATAAATCTTGTAAATGTTTCATTTTAGCTAGTCTGAAGATGACGTTAGAAAGGCATTGAAAGTTCGCAGATAAATAAAACTTTTTATTGAAAATGGTATTCATAGCAGTGTTATATTTCTTATATTCTCGATATATTTATTACTGCTATATCGTCTGGGTTTATTGCTGAATGTATGTGATTAGAAATTGGTATTATTCTAAAATATGTTTTGATGCTAATATTGGCATGATGATACTATCTCTAATTTCTTTTTCCCATAAAGACCAGTATGCTTCAAAATGAATAATTCTAGTTTTTTTTTTTTTTTGACTTGTACAGAACGCGGATACATTTGTTTGCTCAAAAAAAAAAAGAATACAAAATAATTTCATATGATATTTTTAGATTAAATTATGGTCGTTCATAGTTTCTATGTTATTAATCGCAGTGGTGGTTTAATTTATTCTTATGAACATTCAATTCCAAAAATTGAATTTGAAAAAACATTTAGTTATCCATTAGAATTTGTCTTGAAACAAAGTGATAAAGGTGTTCAAGTCTATTTTGGACAACGTGATGGTATTAAAGTTGGACATATAATATTATCAATTAATGGCATACCTGTTCGTGGTTCTAAAATTGATTTTGGTACATCGACTACAGTGACAAGTGGTGATGGTGATGATAATCGAGAAGGTGTTTCAACAAGTCGTGATATTATCGAATATTTACAAGATTCAACAAATTATCCAGTAACAATTAAATTTGGTCGTACACGTTTAAATGGTAATGAAAAATTAATATTAGCTTCTATATTTCATTCAATGTATGCGATTGCTTGTCAATTATCACCAGAAATTAATTCATCTGGAATTAAAGAATTGGAAACAGATCAATATAAATTATATTGTTTTCAAACAATAACAGGACTAAAATTTGTTGCATTAACTGATCCAAAACAGGCAAATGTTGATCTATTTTTAAAACGAACATATGAATTGTATAGTGATTATGCATTAAAAAATCCATTTTATTCAATAGATCAACCCATATGGTGTCCACTTTTTCAACAACATATACAACAAGCAATTGAGATGGTAGAAAAAGCACCATTGACGTTATAATTTTAAGAATTTTTTTATTTTTCTTCTTTTTCTGCTTTTATTGCTATTTAAATGTAATTTTGATAGTATTTGTCTTTGATTCAAGAAAAATTTAATTTTAATTTTCCAAAATATTCAAAGTCTTAGATATGTACAGTTTTTTTTTATTAATATTATTCATCTCTAAGTTCGTGATGTTGCTGCAACTGTTGTTGTCGTTGTTCATTTCGATGTAAACAAAATAATGTAACCATTTCTTTACGAAAATTAGATGCCGTAAAACAGTAGACAAAAAAATTAATGGCATGACTTGTAAATTGAATACATAAAAGTATACCTTGAAGAATATATTTTAATGGTTTTTTCTTTTCAAATAAATGTCTTAAAAATACATGATAAATCATGGCTGGTATAGTTAAAATAATAAATAGAAATGTAATTAAAATTAATGTTGTTGTTAATTGTCGTTGTTTTCTAATACGATGTTTTGTACTTCTATTACGAGAACTTGTTGTTTGTCGTTTTGTTACAATTAATGTTTGATAAATAATAAATATATTACATATACTCATAACCGTAAATGGAATTAAATTATATACAATTAAATGAACTTTTTCCCATTTTGGAAAAACATATCGATAATCTGTTAATCGTTTATAACATTTTATACATGTTTGTTTACCATAGGGTGAACAATTTCTTTCAGCAAATCCATTAATAAATAATAGATGTGAATTTAATAAAATTATACCAATAGTAATAATAAGAATAATATACATTGAATTATGAGGTTTTCCAAGATCTTTTTTCCAAAATAAAAAACAAATATTCATTGCACGATCAAAACTAACTAACATTAAATACCATGATGATAATTGTAATGATGTAAAAGCTAAAAATGATATTAGACGACATTTTGATAAAGATAAATCTTCAATATCATTTTGATATGAATTAATCATATGTTTATAAAATAAATTTAAATTCCAACTATAAAGTGTACATAAATCGGCAACAGCTGCTGCCGTCAAATAACGCATAGTAGTTTGACATCGTAATTTAGGACGAATTAGGACAAATATTGTTAAAAGATTACCTTAAATAATATAAATTATATTTAATATTTTAAATTTTATATACAAGAGTTAATACATACCTATTGTACCAATGACAACTAAACTTGCAGCATAAATAGCTATCACATAAAGTATTGGATGACGAAATATTGTGTTTTCATATGATGATGTTATATTAAAGACGAGTGTTGACCAGTTATTTATCACTGAATCATTGAAAAAATCGTATGACATTAACAAAGTTTCATTGGAATGCTAGAAAAATATAATAATATAGAAAAACTAATGTTTAAATTATTAAATATTCTATTTTGATTTATCAAAGAAAAGTCATATGTATATATACCAGTTAGTCAAATGTTATTTATCCCATTAAGTATGTTTTTTTCTAATTCTATATTTATACAACAAAGAATAGGAATAGAACGAACATCATGTTGTTTGTAACAGACTAATTTCCTATTAATTAGATACTTGAGGTATTCGTTTGAAAAATGTGTCAGATTACCAAAAAACAACAACAATAATCTACTAATTACAATACTACCAATGTATTGCTCAATAAATGTCGATATATTTTTATCAAAAAAAAATGTCATACTTGTACTATGTATTGACACTTTAATTAGTAACTCGTTTTTGTTAATTATAGCTGCTATTTACTTAACTGTTTATTAATCTAAGTATCAAACTGATAGGTATTAGTGCTACATTACCATTGCATAGCACTGTCGTTACCGACTTTCGCGTATAAGATGAACAAGATAAAGAAATCAAAAGATATCTAAAATATTACAATTGTATATATAGTTTAAAAAAGAGGTTAACAAAACAAAATGGTGATTAAAATATAAAATTTGGCATTAGTGTGCACCAGTGCCCAAAAAAATAATTATTTGATACTTATGTGTACTCGTGCCAAACAAAAAAAAAAAACCTCATTTCACACTGGTAAGCATTAACACCATACAAAATCCTGTTTTTTTTTGTAAAATTCGTTTCATTCTATTCTCCCAGACATAGTCAAAATCTAGTCGAAATGAGAAATTATAAATAGTGCACTCTACTCTAACTATTTATAAAAAAGTGTCAATAAAGATTGTATTGATAATCTTCCTTTCTTGGTGAGAAATCATAATTTCTTTATCTACATTTTTCAAACAAACAAAAGACAAAAGAGAAAAAATTCTTTCAAAAATATCATCAATATCCCTCTATTTATTATTAGAACAACACTACGCACTCACACACATAATTACCAAGAGAACTTGTGTGTAACCAACCATGCTTTATTGTTTACACAACAAATTTCTTTTCATGTCTGTTATTTTGACCTACATAGATGAAATAATTACGAGAGATTACCAATAGACAATTTTTCTATGTATTTTACAAGTTATACGTACCATGTCAAAGTATATGTTGTATCCGACGTCAAAAAATTAATCAATTATTCTACACGAAGAACGTTAATATGTACATTCTGGAAAGTATAATTAGACAAGTATTAAATTACTCAAAGAAAAGTTAATACGTCTAATGAGCTCAGTGATGTTGATACAATAATATTGGAAAAAATAGCAAGAAAAAAAATATATTTTCCTACTGTACAATTGAAACCTGATGGGTTTGAATATATTCTGATTAATATTTGTTGTTATTTTTTGTGTGCAACGATCACACATAAACATTTGGAAATCGCTTATACAGTGTGATGTGACTATTTTCTTTTTATAAATAATATGTAGTGGATCAATACCGGAGAAACTCATCATGTACACCATTCATTTAATTATATAGTAGTCTCGTTTATTATCTGTAATAATCGCATGTAGCATTTTTGCTTTAAAATAAATTTCATTTTATTAGATTAAAAATGGTCTAAATCAGTTAGTGTAACGTGACATTTCTATTTATGATTCTATACGAATTACAAGATTTTTAACGGAATACCGATTAAGAAATGAATAGTCACGTGCAAAAGTTTTTACTACATCAATTTTTTTTATGTGTACGTGCCAAATTATTCTATATATTTTACTAAAATAGAATATGCTACGTTGATTAAGTTAGTGAAGATCTGATTTATTTCAATTCTGCTAATGATGATCGATTCTTTGACATGTTTTCGAAACATCGTTTAATTCTATTATTAAAAAATATTTTCTGAATAATCATCTAATCACTGATAAATACAGTTATTTTTAACTGTCTCTGGTTGCTATTCTATTTCTTGTCTCTTAGTTAGGGGGTTTGTTATTTCATAGTGCGGAACTTTCGTAGACCCGTTGATCTGGTGTCAGTCACAGCACCATGCATTGATAGAAGCGCAAAATGTGGAAAAAATTTAAAAACTACTGTATCCAACGCAAACTTATTAAACAGAAGTCAAGGATCA